ATTAAGAAAACTATGTAAGACTTATCTAACAATTATTACAAATAACTACTTAAAAGAAAACACTTTTTATAGTATTCAACCTGTATGTTTTTGTGTTACTTTGGGTAAGTAACCAGGCCTGTCTAAATCAGACATATCGATGACAATGGAAATGCAAAGGTAGCGAATAAAAAGTGCACCAGTACCGTAAGAACAGCTCAGTGCTTAGGGTATAATGTGTATACCTACTGTACACACCCTTTTGACATGCACTATGCTGGAAGCCCTGTGAATAACTAACCCCCTTGAAATTACCCTTTTAACCAGCAGGGGAAGGAAATATTCTAAAACATTGTTTGCCACTAGTGGCAGTAATTTGCTGTAAAAGCACATAGACGTACTCTTAGAATAAGCACAGGATCAATGCCAATTGCCCATTATTAGCTCACTAGAGTGTAGCCTACTATTGGGAATTGCCTTGAGATGCGTGAATGGATGCATTCATTGGCATATCCTGTGATGTGTTGGTCCCTCTGCTGATTTCTTAGTTTATTCTGCAGCACCTTAACTGAATGTGAACTGATGAAGACAGACTACGGGTTAGTTGCATGTTTCACTCCGTGGCTTACCTGTTGTAAACTGTAAATACTATGGACCCCATACCAGGAGAGGGGGAGGAGTCCGAATCAGGGCACATGATTAGTTACAATGAAATGGTTTCTCAATGCACCTTTAAAAAAAAAAAATAGATTTGGTTTGTCAGCCAAACATTCCAAAAGTTTTTGCGAGCTTTGCTGTTGGGTAACAAAAGTCTAAACTGCTTTGCTGGTGAATGGTAGTAACTTTGACATCTGGTATAGGCCTAGTCTACATGCTGTGTGTTTGCCAGCGAAAGGAAAGATTCCCTATTTAACTGTTGATTACCTCATTTACAAACCTGCAAATACTATTCTACTGTGAGTAGAAAATGCCATCACCAGCATGTGCTCTAGACCTGTGATGACAATGGCAACAGGACCAATGACGTAGCGCGATTTCAAAATTTGTGAGTTAAAACATGAATAGTCAACGACAATAATGACACTCCTCTCAAATTCTATAAGGCTGATACATATAACGGTATTATCCATGTAAATAAACCTGTTTGCATTTCTTGCCTTTTTCAATAGTAGCATTTTTCCTACCTCCCATAAATTGCAGCTTTGAGTTAATCTGCACCTGTTTTGACAAACAAGTATACACACAATTAGCCTATGGGAACTTTTAGAATTTTACCATGAACAATTATAATTCAACATGATGAAGTGAGCTTGATTGTATGTATAATTGTGTGTGTTCAACATGAGATGATTTATGAAAAGCATTTCTACAACAAAATACCACTGGGATGTGAAGCTAGACTATGATGCTGATAACGAACGTCTTCTACCCCTCTTTGGGGGATGAATTACATTGAGTACAGTGGCATTTTCTGTTTGTCATTGTCTTAAAAACACCTATCTCATTTCTAAATTATTTTGCTTTCATGTTATGCTCTACAGTCTCTCAAAGTTAAAGTTTACAGCTTCCTGGAATGTGAATTTTGGTTAGGTTAGTTATTGCATATGTACAGTGGGGAGAACAAGGATTTGATACACTGCCGATTTTGCAGGTTTTCCTACTTACAAAGCATGTAGAGGTCTGTAATTTTTATCATAGGTACACTTCAACTGTGAGAGACAGAATCTAAAACAAAAATCCAGAAAATCACATTGTATGATTTTTCAGTATTTTATTGCATGACATAAGTATTTGATCACCTACCAACCAGTAAGAATTCCGTCTCTCACAGACCTGTTAGTTTTTCTTTAAGAAGCCCTCCTGTTCTCCACTCATTACCTGTTAACTGCACCTGTTTGAACTCGTTACCTGTATAAAAGACACCTGTCCACACACTCAATCAAACAGACTCCAACCTCTCCACAATGGCCAAGACCAGAGAGCTGTGTAAGGACATCAGGGATACAATTGTAGACCTGCACAAGGCTGGGATGGGCTACAGGACAATAGGCAAGCATCTTGGTGAGAAGGCAACAACTGTTGGCGCAATTATTAGAAAATGGAAGAAGTTCAAGATGACGGTCAATCACACTCGGTCTGGGGCTCCATGCAAGATCTCACCCCGTGGGGCATCAATGATCATGAGGAAGGTGAGGGATCAGCCCAGAACTACACGGCAGGACCTGGTCAATGACCTGAAGAGAGCTGGGACCACAGTCTCAAAGAACCATTAGTAACACACTACGCCGTCATGGATTAAAATCCTGCAGCGCACGCAAGGTCCCCCTGCTCAAGCCAGCGCATGTCCAGGCCCGTCTGAAGTTTGCCAATGACCATCTGGATGATCCAGAGGAGGAATGGGAGAAGGTAATGTGGTCTGATGAGACAAAAAATAGAGCTTTTTGGTCTAAACTCCACTCGCCGTGTTTGGAGGAAGAAGAAGGATGCGTACAACCCCAAGAACACCATCCCAACCGTGAAGCATGGAGGTGGAAACATCATTCTTTGGGGATGCTTTTCTGCAAAGGGGACAGGACGACTGCACCGTATTGAGGGGAAGATGGATGAGGCCATGTATCGCGAGATCTTGGCCAACAACCTCCTTCCCTCAGTAAGAGCATTGAAGATGGGTCGTGGCTGGGTCTTCCAGCATGACAATGACCCGAAACACACAGCCAGGGCAACTAAGGAGTGGCTCCGTAAGAAGCATCTCAAGGTCCTGGAGTGGCCTAGCCAGTCTCCAGACCTGAACCCAATAGAACATCTTTGGAGGGAGCTAAAAGTCCCTGAAACCTGAAGGATCTGGAGAAGGTCTGTATGGAGGAGTGGGCCAAAATCCCTGCTGCAGTGTGTGCAAACCTGGTCAAGACCTACAGGAAACATATGATCTCTGTAATTGCAAACAAAGGTTTCTGTACCAAATATTAAGTTCTGCTTTTCTGATGTATCAAATACTTATGTCATGCAAATGAATTACAAAATCATACAATGTGATTTTCTGGATTTTTGTTTTAGATTCCGTCTCTCACAGTTGAAGTGTACCTATGATAAAAATTACAGACCTCTACATGCTTTGTAAGTAGGAAAACCTGCTAAATCGGCAGTGTATCAAATACTTGTTCTCCCCACTGTACGTACAGCTGGTTTTGGTACTATATCATAATATATATTTTTAACAGGGGAGTCAGGTTATATGCACATTATTATATTCTGTACAAGGGTGAGTTTTGTTCCCCTCAAGCCGTATGCCTTCAGAAACACTAATTCACTCAACTGTTGCTAGGTATTTGCCTTCCCCATCTGTGTATCGGCTTTAAAGCTAGAATCCTTAATTGAAACAATAACAAAGCGGATACCCCACCTCTGTTTTGGTAAAAAGCTGACTGATGGGCCTGGAGAAATGTAACCACTCTCAAATTCATGGACAGAGCTATGGATGCAAGTACTGACCATTCATGATATCAAAAATATAGTTTTAACCATGTTGAGGCTATACAGTGTTTTAAATTTACATTGTTTACAATCATTGTAAAACAAGATATTTAGGGTTCTAATGGGGTATGACAGTTGAACTTAGGTTTGTCATTTATAAGTTATATTCTTCAAGAATAAATGGCTAAATAGCATTAATTTATAAGTCCAAAAATGGATGTAGCAACTAAAGATTCTAGCTTTAATTCTATGGGAATAGAGGATAGGGTGAGAGGTCCGGTTTCTGACCAGACAGACACCCACGCCATGCCCATCATTCCCACACAAGGAGAGGAACACCCCCTCTCACTCCCCATCATCCACTATCCCTCCAAAACCTCAAGCCATTTCTTTATTTGACAATGCAATCGATCCTGAAAGCACTTTGCCTTGTTTTTCCATTGTGTGAACAATATGTAAATGGTAATTTGTTACAAAATGTTACGGATATGTGTAAGATTATTCATTCACAATTTCAGAATAATCTGCATCAATCTTTCTGACGTTAAAATAATAAAATGATTTAAACGTTGGACCTAAGTCTATTTTATACAATGTTTGCTGCAGCCAATTGGTCTTGTCATTCAGTATTGTGGCTTAGGGTTGGTTATGTGTTTAAATAAAGTGCTATTGCTAAATATTCACTGCATCATGTTATGATTTGATTCCTAGATGTATAACCAGTGAGAGTGCTCTGGAGTCATGGTCAGATATAAAAGGGACACCTTTATTGGTGAATTTCTGACATTGTTTTTTAAAATCTTGAATACTGAATAACTAAGGACATGTCATTGGATACTGAAAGTCTTCATATATTTTACACTCTTCCTGCCAGTGTGGTTCAACCAATGCAAAACATTCTGAAATAATCTCACTCCCATTAGATTTTTATTCCATTCCCCTAAAAATACATTCATGTTTATATAGAAACAGGAAAAAACTAGTTGCACAGTACATTTAAGATAATGTAGTTTCATATAACATTGTAACAAGAAAGCAATAAATTGTGTGCAGTACAGTGCCATTATCTTGATGGTGTGTTATGTGATCATCATCTGGTCCAGCAGGACTAGTGACACTCACGGGTTGTTCACATTAACCATCAAACTGTGTCAGTAGGGCAGCAGGTAGGCTAGCGATTAAGAGCGTTGGGCCAGTAACCGAAAGGCTAGGTGAAAAAAATCTGTCTGTGCCCTCGAGCAAGGCACTTAATCCTAATTGGTCCTGTAAATTGCTCTGGATAAGAATGTCTGCTAAATTACTAAAATGTAAATGTGTAATCTTGTGCCTCAGAGTGCTCTAAAAGTGAAGCTGGTGCTTATTGAGGTCATCTCAAATCACATTTTTCAGGCCTTTAGTAGTAAAATACTGTAAATGAAGTCTACTATGATGAAGTAATTTGATAGCGTCCGTTTGAACTCAAGTTAAGAGTAACCAATCCGGTGGTTTAGAATCACCATCAGAACCTCAGGTGGTTTAGAATTTGATCCACTCATATCCTTCCCATTGAATCAGACGTCACCCAGGTTGAAGGCGATACGGTCCTCAAACAGAGCGATACACAACATGATGGCCCCCCCTGCCAACAGGCCCAGGTTCTGTAGCAGGAAGCGAGTCCAAGGTCCCATTGGGCCAGGATCACCATGAAGCATCTCAGGTAACTATTGAGCAAGAGGAGAGAGAATGTGACAGACATTTCCACACCACTGAGCCCAGCTGAGTTGTACTGTACTGAGCTGGGCCCGGTTTCCCAAAAGCATCTTAAGGTTAAATTCATCGTAAGAACCTTTCGTAGGAGGTTAAATCATTGTTACTAAAGTTGCACTTAAACGCTCGTTATTTACGTTATTTAGAACAGCTAAGTGTGTCGTTAGATGCGTTTTTTCCCTAACACGTCACTTTATACACAGATTTCCGCTAAACATAGAATCAAGATGTTTATTGGTCTCTAACCGCTGATAACTTCCCAACGAAGTCGATTACAAAAACAAAACTGCCAAAGAATTTGCAATTGTTACAAACAAGCGAAGATAAAAAGATGCTTCAAATGAAAACAGATGACCACATTAAAAGATAAATAGCCTACAGTATAGGCTACATAGGCCTATATACTGTATTTCAAATTATATTGAAATCAATGTCATGTTCATTCAATTTAGTTTTATTTTGCCATTGGCTACTGCCTGTAAAAATGTGCCAAATCTTGATTTTGTGCATTATTATAGGGCACGTGCCAAACTCATTTCACAGAGGTCCTAGTGTCTGCGGGTTTTCACTCCTCCCTTGTACTTGATTGATTAATTAAGGTCACTAATTAGTAAGGAACTAATTAGTAAGGAACTCCCCTCACCTTGTTGTCTAGGTCTTAATTGAAAGGAAAAACCAAAAACCAGCAGACACTAGGACTCCATGGAATGAATTTGACACCCCTGTTATAGGGTAAGCATTAGAATAAGCCACCTAAATATTTGCAGCCATAGGTGATAATATCTCTCTAGGAGTTGATACATCATTAGTATTGTGGAATAATTATAATGTTAAGGTAAGATTTGAATGGAGAAAGCTGATCCGAGAGCAGCACTGCCTTTCTTTCGATCCTATCAGTATCGACAAAATGCAGCACTTAGCAAACGTTCTCTCAGCGTGGTGTTTTGGGAAATATGTTACATCTTTGGCCATTGTAGGAAAGATGCATCGTTAAAACACTCATAAGCCTACGTTTCATCACTATCAGGAAACCGGGCCCTGGCCTGTTTACACATCCACCATGCTGGAAAGGACAATGTGAAAAGATATCAGCCAGCACAGTATGGTTCGGGTTGGCAGTATCAATCAATCAAATGTACTTATAAAGCCCTATTTACATCAGCAGTTGTCAGTGTGTTTAGTGTGAAAATGTACACGTGGAAGTCGATCCACTGTAGCGACTCACCATGTCAGCAAGGGCCACGTAGAGGAAGACCCCAGCAGTGAGGGTGAGGATCCAGGGGGAGATCTGAGCAGACTGGTGGCCCAGGACAGAGCCAGTCAGCAGTCCCACGAAGCCCAGCAGGGCTGAAACAGCACTGAAGAGAACTAGTCGGCGAACAGGCCACCCTGCTCCCAGCAGCACTGCCAGGTCACCTACACAGACAGACAACACAATGAATGAACCGTATACTCCATGGAACATTACAGAGCAGAGGTATACCTGAAACTTGAACTTTTTATGGACATGGATTTTATGATGTGTTGTACTGTAACCTACAGTACATACACTGAGTGTACAAAACATTAAGAACACCTTCCTAATATTGAGTTGCACTTTCGCCTTCAGAGCAGCCTCAATTAATCGGAGCATGGACTCTACAAGGTGTCGAAAGTGTTCCACAGGGATGCTGGCCCATGTTGACTCCAATGCTTCCTACAGTTGTGTCAAGTTGGCTAGATGTCCTTTGGGTGGTGGACCATTCTTGATACACACGGGAAACTGTTGAGTGAAAAACCCAGCAGCGTTGCAGTTCTTGACACACTCAAACTGCTGCGCCTGGCACCTACTACCATACCCCGTTCAAAGGCATTTAAATATTTTGTCATGCCCATTCACCCTCAATGGCACACATTCACAATCCATGTCTCAATTCTCTCAAGGCTTAAAAATCCTTCTTTAACCAGTCTCCTCCCCTTCATCTACACCAGGGTTCTTCAATTCCGGTCCTGGAGGGCCAAAACACTTCTGTTTTTTATTTCTACCTGGTAGTTAATTGCACTCACCTGGTGTCCCAGGTCTGAATTAGCCCCTGATTAGAAGGAGAGGATGAAAAACAGAGGTGTTTCGGCCCTCCAGGACCGGAATTGAAGAACCCTGATCTACACTGATTGAAGTGGATTTAACAAGTGACATCAATAACAGATAATATTTAGACTGACCAGGTGAATCCAGGTTATGTCATGGAAAGAGCAGCTGTTCTTAATGTTTTGTACACTCAGAGTAGAAAGGGAAGGTATTCTTGTATACCTAGCTCGTGAGGAAGCTCATGACAGAACACAGCTATAGTGGTGCTGAGACCTCCAGCCAGACTCTGAGAGAAAGCTGCACCAATGGCCAGACCGTCAGTAAGGTTGTGGATCCCGTCTCCCATAACCACCATCCACACCAAGCTTCCTATCCCAGCTTGTTCCTTGGAAGGTGGGCCATGTGAATGGCTGTGACCATGACCGTGCTCAGAGGGTTGTGTCTCACTCTGCAGAGCAGTAAGCTCCCTCTCTGGATACAGATCTACACTGGTGTTCTGCTCCTTCCTCTTCCTCTTAGCCTTCTGATGACAAAAAGCATTTAAAACAGACCATATGAGTGAAACATTCACAACTGAATACAAGACCAAACAATCCACCCTGCTTTTCCCAACAAACAAAGACAATATAGAACCTCTTCACACTTACAACACTTTTTGTAAAAATACCGTCGGCTACACATATTACTCAAATGTAAACTTGCGTACTTGCTACGTCTCGACCGCTACCTCCAGTGGTAGTGCACAACACTCGCCCGACAGTTGGCCCCCTTGAAGCAGGGCAGTGTAAACACAATTGTCTCGTTGAACCAATACTCCTACAGTATAAATGGTAATAGCAGAGCAATGTTTTTGAAACAGCTGAAATGTATAGACATTTTCTTAATATTTGAGACTTGTTTTTATAGATTTTCACCTGAAATTGCAGAAATGTTACATTCTGAAATTGTCGCAGTAGCTGCTGGCTACACTGAGCTACGTAAAACTATGGAAGATCATACAAATTTAGAAAGGTAGATCATACAAATAGGATATGTTTTTACATTTGTAGCATTGTGTGGTGATTTCAGAGATGGCACACAGACATTTTTGTTGTTGTATTGGTTGTATAATTTTTGTTGTTGTATTGTTTGTATATTGTTGTGACTTTCCTTGTCTCAGTGTATCAGTGTTTTGTTACTTGTCATGTTTTGTGTGGACCCCAGGAAGAGTAGCTGCTGCTTCTGCAAAAGCTCATGGGAATCTAAATAAACAAATAAGCACCACAGGTCCTAGAGTGGTGGGGGGGGAATTGTTTTCCTGGGGCCCAGAGTTTTTCCTGGCTAGTAGTAGGCTAACCTAACCAACTCCGGACCCTAGTTGTAGTGTATGACATAGTAATAAATTAGCTGTAAAAAGCAGTTTTACATGGGCTATGATGGGACCAGATCATTTTTCTAATCATGGCATGTGGTTTAAAAATATATAACTCCTGGCCCTAGGGAGGATGAAAACTTTAAAACCCTTTCCACAGACAACAACTACGATTGGACTGTATGTCTGGTTGCATCGTGTAGGACTTTGCATCTGTAATTAAAAAGACACTCATACAGTATGTCATCACTATTGTGTTGATTGATTAATTCCAGTCAATAATTTTAGATTAAAAAGACCTAGGTAGCCTAGCCACCTGAAGTGTGAACATAACCTAAATTTGATCAAATTCAAATTTTCTCTGAACACAAATAAAATGGGCCTATTTTAGGCCATTAATAAATAGCTGAGGCTATAAAAAAACATGACATTATGTTTCCCCTGGCCAAGACCAGATGGGATCAGATCGCATAGGCTTCTCCAGGCTACCTGAAGCTGTGGTTGTTATCAGTAGGCTACTGTTGATCAGACTGAAGCACAGACTAATTGTGTAGTTGACAAATCATGAGGCATTTTATTTATTTGGTTCCATATAAAACAGCTTGTTGCAGTAAATTCACTTATACCCACATTTTCAGTCGCAATTTGCTTTTACCACATTATATGATTTGCATGATGAAGCCTGCTTTGTTGTAATGTTGTAAGGTAGGCCTAATGTACTTTTATATTCGTATGAGAGGGTTAAATCGTTCATTTTTGATAGGCTAATGTTACTTAATGAAGACATGCTGTTATAGCAACTCTGTGCTTTTGTCTTGAAGCTAAAATTTAATGAGTGTAGCCAAGAGTATAATATGGTTTGGTTGCATTATTCAATAATGTAATATGTTTTAGATTAAACGTTTGTCATTGTTGAATAGTTTGTGCTTACTGGCTAGTGGCTACTGTAATATTTAAGGTCAATTTGAGCTGCGGACCAAGAATGTCATGTGGCCAGCTACAACAAAATGTTAGGCAAGGATGTAATGTCAATTGAAGTAGAATTATCTTTCGCCAACCCTGCTCCTCAGACTCTTCTTCATATCTCATAGTGGGAATAGGGCCCAAAGGCGTCCTCATGCTTCCCATCCGAAACAGTTTGGGCATATATTATGACATTTTGTGACGTTTTTGTTTGTTTTTGTCTTCGGCAAGGGTTTTTCGGCTGTTCGTGCACACACAAAAATGTTCTTGAGGCAAACCGAAGTTCGGAAGCCGAAGTCTACACCCCTTCCTCAGTGATAGGTCAACAGTAGGGATTCTTCAACAAAGTGTTTGTTGTCGTTCAACGACAGACTGCGCATTTTAATGCAAAAAAATATGTACTTGAGAAATATTGCACAGAACATCTTGGTTAGATGAAAAGTTGCGCGACTAAGATCTCTGCAAAAACGTTACAATTAATGACAGATTTCTTCAATTATCTTAGATTAAATCTGACTATTTTGAGGAAGTGTATACTGATTACGACATCTCAAGATAGACAAACAGTACTATATCCGCCTTTCTCGTTTTTCAAGCTAATGTCTTTTAAGGGGGTATGCGAGCACACTCGTTCAGTTCACTTAGCCGAGTTCGGCTAGGCGCCAGCCGAACCGAAGCATGCGGAAGCCTTTAGACTGAAACCAAAGACCGTACAGTATTAAGATAGGCAGAAACTGTTTCTCCAATAGAAATCCTTGATCACACTTGTAGGCGACGTCATGGCGACGTTGGCTAGTTAAACTCATGCGTAGAAATACGTCATCGGGTCTAACGGTCGTCTCACGCCGAACTGCGCATGTGCAGGCCGTCAAATCAAAGGCACTCGATATAAAAGTTGTTTTTGACAAAAATGAAAACGTGTCAGTTGGTCACTTTTATGAGGTTGGAGTAATAACATGTTCAACTATGTTGTGCCTTTAGATTTAGAGAAAATTAACTAAGGAAGGATTTTTCACTTCTCTCATTGACTTCTCAAACCCCTGCCTGGTCTGTTTCGCAAGCGTTCCCTGGAAGTCTTGCGATGTTGCGCCTATGGGGTTAGTAACTCTGTGCTGAAACGTTACTACACTGAACAAAAATATAAGCAACATGTAAAGTGCTGTTCCCATGTTTCATGAGCTGAAATAAAAGATCTCTGAAATGTTCAATACACACAAAAAGCTTATGAGCACAAATTTGTTTACATCCCTGTTAGTGAACATTTTATCCTTTGTCAAGATAATCCATCCACCAGACAGGTGTGGCATATCAAGAAGCATTGATCATTACACAGGTGCACCTTGTGCTGGGGACAATAGGTGCAGTTTTGTCACACTGCAATGCCACAGATGTCTCAAGTTTTGAGGGAGCGTGCAATTGGCATGCTGACTGCAGGATTGTCTGATTGTTTCTGTCTGTAATAAAGCCCTTTTGTGGGGGAAAAAAATCATTCTGATTGGCTGGGCCTAGCTCCCCAGTGGGTCGGCCTGGCTCTCAAGTAGGTTGACCTATGCCCTTCCAGGCCCACCCATGGCTGCGCCCCTGCCCAGTCATGTGAAATCCATATATTAGGGCCTAATTTATTTATTTCGATTTACTGATTTCCTTATATGAACTGTAACTCAGCAAAATTGTTGAAATTCATGCATGTTGCGTTTATATTTTTGTTCAGTATACTATGCACAGTGTATCAGCATCAAACTCGCCCCTTTACTCTCTTAATCCAGCTAACCTTGTAATGGGTCCTCAGTCCTAGAAGGCTCTCGAAGATGAAAAGGAAGTAGCAACCTCCCAGCACGCAAAGGCCCTTCAGAATAGAGTCCTGTTCTTCAGAGTGGCTTGACTGTGGCCCAATCTTGGCCTGCAGGACACAGAAACAACATGACATGGTTTTCACATCAGCAACAGGTTTTACATTTACAACATTTACTACTAGTTTTTACAACTTCACCCTCCATGACTAAACAGAGACAGCAGCACTGGTATTTATGTAGTGTTTGACAGTTTGGACTGGTACTTACGTGAGGCAGGAGATGCAGCAAGGCATCTCCACACAGCGTCCCCACAGCCAGGGCTGTCATTGGGCAGAGGAAGGAACGGAGGCGGTCGGGTGGCAGGAGGGGCACCAGGCTCAGAGCCAGCAGAGACGGCAGGCTGATCACAACCAGAGCCAAGGAGCTCCATCCCAGAGCTGCAAAACAAACAATATATTGTATTGTATTCATTTAGATGCTGTATACATTCTGCTTGGTCAATAGGGTATTGTAGTTTCCAGGGTTATGTTAAGTCTAGGTTTGTCCTAAATGTAAAGTTATGCCCCTGTGCTCCAACTTATAAAGGGATACGTTGAGTTTTAAAACATACTATATCGATAAATAATTTATTGTCATAGCTGGTAAGTAGTTTCATTAATGCACCTTTGAGGAAAGTCACACTCCTTTCTGACTCTGCCCCATGAGTCTCTGGGTGGCGTAGACACACGCCACTCTCAATCTGGTACAGCAGAGCTGGACACAGGAGGGTGAAGTGGGCAGGAGTGATGTGGGATGCCTTTTCCAGACCGAAATTCCACAAGAGTTGAGTAACGTTCAGACACTGTGAAAAGGAAAGGGTTAAAAGTCATCACTGTCCACTGAAATTGTTTATGTACGGGGAATGTTCTGATTTTCTCATTAACTCTAAAAGTGTTTTATTTTGACAAAAGGGACCCAAAACATTCCTTGGCCAGGCATGTACAAAAGAACACCCTTTTCCTTTAACTTCCTCCTAATCTTTACAATGTCAAATAAAAACATCACCGGAGAGGATGATATTTTGCCAAAAACAGTAAGCAGAATTCAGTTGTGAACTTTGTGCATTTGGCACAAAACATTAGCCAAATGTTTTTTATTGACTACTCACATTCCCATGAAGATGCCTCATAGTGGGGTGATTTGACACAAGGGAGTCAAACATTCCTTGGACAGGAATAGTGTGTGCAATAGGGGATGACCACAGAAGGACCTCTTCCTTAATCACATGATCAGAGGAAAATGTGCTGCCCTCTTTAGACCCAGATCCAGCAGGCCCTGATATCCCAGGCTGTGGGGTTCTTTCAGAGGGGGTTGGAAAGAAGAGGCAGCACAGTTTATTCAGGTGTCATTGTGTAACTATTCATAGCTTGATGAGCACTAGAATGCCAAAACTTCAGTACTTCAAAAGTGGCTACTAACAATGCCTTCAGAAAGTATTCACACCCCTTGACTTTTTCCACATTTTGTTGTTTTACAAAGTGGGATTAAAATAGATTTAATTGTCATTTTGTCAACCACATACACTAAATACTCTAATGTCAAAGTGGAAGAAACATTCAAACATTTATAAAAAGAAATATGAAAAATTAAACACATTTACAGTAATCTTGATTCGATAAGTATTCAACCCCCTGAGTCAATACATGTTAGAATCACCTTTGGCAGCGATTACAGCTCTGAGTCATTCTGGGTAAGTCTCGAAGAGCTTTCTACATTTACATTTTAGTCATTTATTTTTATTTTATTTTATTTCACCTTTATTTAACCAGGTAAGCCAGTTGAGAACAAGTTCTCATTTACAACTGCAACCTGGCCAAGATAAAGCAAAGCAGTGTGATAAAAACAATAACACAGAGTTACATATGGGGTAAAACAAAACAAAGTCAAAAATACAACAGAAAATATATATACAGTGTGTGAAAATGTAGTAAGTTATGGAGGTAAGGCAATAAATAGGACACAGTGCAAAATAATTACAATTAGTATTAACACTGGCAAGAGATGATGTGCAAATAGAGATACTAGGGTGCAAATGAGCAAAATAAATAACAATATGGGGATGAGGTAGTTGGGTGGGCTTATTTCAGATGGGCTGTGTACAGATGCAGTGATCGGTAAGGTGCTCTGACAACTGATGCTTAAAGTTAGTGAGGGAGATAAGAGTCTCCAGCTTCAGAGATTTTTGCAGTTCGTTCCAGTTATTGGCAGCAGAGAACTGGAAGGAATGGCGGTGTTGGCTTTGGGGATGACCAGTGAGATATACCTGCTGGAGCGCATACTACGGGTGGGTGTTGCTATGGTGACCAATGAGCTAAGATAAGGCGGGGATTTGCCTAGCAGTGATTTATAGATGGCCTGGTGCCAGTGGGTTTGGCGACGAATATGTAGTGAGGACCAGCCAACAAGAGCGTACAGGTCACAGTGGTGGGTAGTATATGGGGCTTTGGTGACAAAACGGATGGCACTGTGATAGACTACATCCAATTTGCTGAGTAGAGTGTTGGAGTCTATTTTGTAAATGACATCGCCGAAGTCAAGGATCGGTAGGATTGTCAGTTTTACGAGGGCATGTTTGGCAGCATGAGTGAAGGAGGCTTTGTTTGCGAAATAGGAAGCAGATTCTAGATTTAACTTTGGATTGGAGATGCTTAATGTGAGTCTGGAAGGAGAGTTTACAGTCTAACCAGACACCTAGGTATTTGTAGTTGTCCACATACTCTAGGTCAGACCTGTCGAGAGTAGTGATTCTAGTCGGGTGGGAGGGTGCCAGCAGCGTTCAATTGAAGAGCATGCATTTAGTTTTACTAGTGTTTAAGAGCAGTTGGAGGCTATGGAAGGAGTGTTGTATGGCATTGAAGCTCGTTTGGAGGTTTGTTAACACAGTGTCCAATGAAGGGCCAGATGTATACAAAATGGTGTCGTCTGCGTAGAGGTGGATCTGAGAGTCACCAGCAGCAAGAGCGACATCATTGATATACACAGAGAAAAGAGTCGGCCCAATAATTGAACCCTGTGGCACCCCCATAGAGACTGCCATAGGTCCAGACAACAGGCCCTCCGATTTGACACATTGAACTCTATCTGAGAAGTAGTTGATGAACCAGGCGAGGCAGTCATTTGAGAAACCAAGGCTATTTAGTCTGCCAATAAGAATGCGGTGGTTGACAGAGTCGAAAGCCTTGGCCATGTCAATGAAGACGGCTGCACAGTACTGTCTATTTAGCAGACTACACCTGGAGTGTGCAACATTTGCCCATTATTATTTAAAAAAATCTTCAAGCTCTGTCAAATTGGTTGTTGATCATCGCTAGACATCCATTTGCAGGTCTTGCCATATATTTTCAAGCAGATTTAAGTCAAAACTGTAACTCGGCTACTAAAGGAACATTCACTGTCTTCTTGGTAAGCAACTCCAGTGTAGATTTGGCCTTGTGTTTTAGGTTATTGTCCTGCTAAAATGCGAATTAATCTCCCAGTCTGGTGGAAAGCAGACTGAACCAGGTTTTCCTCTAGGATTTTGCCTGTGCCTAGCTCTATGCTGTTTATTTTTTATCCTGAAAAACTCTCCAGTCCTTAACGATTACAAGCTACCCATAACATGATGCAGCTACCTCTATGCTTGAAAATATGGAGAGAGGTACTCAGTAGTAATGTGTTGTATTGAATTTTCCACAAACATAACACTTTGTATTCAGGACAAAACATTTAAATTGCTTTGCCACATTTTCTGCAGTATTACTTTAGTGCCTTGTTGCAAACAGGATGCATGTTTTGGAATATTTTTTTTCTGTACAGGCTTCCTTCTTTTCAATCTGTCAATTAGGTTAGTATTGTGGAATAACTACAATGTTGGTTGATCCATCCTCAGTTCTCCTATCACAGCCATTAAACTCTGTAACCGTTTTAAAGTCACCATTTGCCTCATGGTGAAATCCCTGAGCGGTTTCCTTCCTCTCCGGCAACTGAGCTAGGAAGGACACCTGTATCTTTGTAGTGACTGGGTGTATTGACACAGTGTAATTAATAACTTCACCATGCTCAAAGGGATATTCAATGTCTGTTTCTTTTTTACCCATCTACCAATAAGTGCCCATCTTTGTGAGGCATTGGAAAACCACCCTGGTCTTTGTGGTTGAATCTGTGTTTGAAATTCACTGCTCGATTGAGGGACCTCACAGATAATTGTATGTGTGGGGTACAGAGATGAGGTAGTCATTCAAAAATCATGTTAAACAATATTATTGCACACTGAGTGAGTCCATGCAGCTTAAGCGTCTTGTTAAGCAAATTTTTTTAGGCTTGCCATAACACAGGAGTTGAATATTTATTGACTCAAGACATTTCAACTTTCATTTTTTATTATTACTAAAATAAAATCAAAAACATAATTCCACTTTGACATTATGGGGTATTGTATGTAGGCCAGTGACAGAAAATCTCAATTTAAAATGTGGAAAAATGCAATAAATGTGGAAAAAGTCAAGTGGTGTGAATACTTTCTGAAGGCACAGTTTATCTCACATATTTAAGAATCATGGGATCAAATCAGTTGCAATATCTGTATCTCACCTGGCTGCATTTGCAGAGGGGGGTGGTTGAATAGGCCTACTTGGACTGGGGGTGTCTGTTTCCTGATCATGAAATTGTGGGTGAGGGGGTGTCAGAGTGTTATGGTTGTGCCTCAAACCTCGGTGGCTGATCTCCAACACACTGACCTGCCCTAGTCCCAGGCTGCCCAGTAACTTCTGCATGCCCTTATAGGACAGAGTCCCATTGTCTCCATACTGATGGAACAGACGCTGCAAGTAGTAGACCTGGAAAAAAAGGTATTGACAAAAGTAAATTGTCAGCTGAAATTATCGGCAAGAGGGATAATCATTAGTGTTAAAACACTACCATTATGAGACTATTATAATAGCTAGCCTACTTTATATTTTTACTTTATTAAATGTAGTTTTACAGGGATAGTGCACATTAATTAACATTACTGTAAAAAGTGCCAGTTTTAGCCAGCTGGCTAATTTTCAACTGCAGTCCATTTTTACTGATGCAATTTAGTGCAGCCCCTTTTTACTGATGCAATTTAGGTTTAGTGTCCTGTTGACAGCAGTGTCTCTCCTAAAACTTTAAAATGTGACCTTATCAACTATGACTTCCAGAATCTTCATAATATTGCTGTGAAATGAAGTTGTATCACTGATCTATTGAGGCCAAATTCAGATATGAGATGCCTGGAGACAATAAAAATCAAATAAAATCAAGCTTTATTTATACAGCCTATTTCAGACATGGAATGCAACGCAATGTGCTTCACAGGAAAAAACAAATAAACAATGAAAATAAATGCTGAAATATTTACTACACAAGATAAAAAAGAAAAAAAAGAATGACAAAATCTGAAAGACTAAAAAGCACCCACTCTCAAGTATGTCCACAGTTTCGGCCCCCCTCAGGTTCTCTGGCAGGCTATTCCAGAGGCTGTGGGCATAATAACTAAAGGCTGCCTCTCCATGCATCTTGGTCCTAGGCTTTGGGATAGTTTAAAGGCCAGTGCCAGAGGACCTGAGGGACCTACTGGGTACATAACTTAAAAGCATGTCTGACATGTATTGGGGTGCACAATCGTGGATTGATTTAAAAACTAATGGAATAATCTCAAACTCACAGGCAGCCAGTGCAGAGACCTTAAAAACGGTGTAATGTGTGCTCTCCGTCTGGTGTTGGTCAGTACCCGTGCTGCAGCATTCTGTATGTTTTGCAGTTGACCAATGGCTTTCTTGGGTAGACCAGACAGGAGAGCAATACTGTAGTCAAGCCTGCATGTAATAAAAGCATTGAGTCTCTGGATCAGCCTGAGAGAGAAACGGCCGCACCTTGGCAATGTTCCTCAGGTGGTAAAAAGCTATTTTGGTCACATTCCTAATGTGTGACTCGAAGATTAGTTCAGAATCTAAAATAACACCTAGGTTTTTTACCTGGTCTTTTATCTTTGCCTGTGAATTAAAATGTGCGGCCAGATTCTCTCTCTGTGCTTTGGCTCCAACAATAAGTACCTCGGTGTGACGAGTACTGAGTATACGAAGAGGCAGACGCAGGAATTAACAAGGTCAAGGTTTACTTAACAATGACAACGAGAAATAACAAAGATAGAGTAAACGACACAACGCTAAACAATCACACACACAACATCATCCACAACAGTCCAGGGCTAAATAGGAGTGGTGATGAGATGAGGTGCAGGTGTGCTGGAGGTGATTAGGGTGCGTTGGGTTTCCATTCCGGTGTTGCCGAGGTGGTGCGCTCAGACCGGTGGCTCAGTAGACCGGCGAATCAGAATCTGATTCGCCGGAGGGGAGCACCGGGAGGAGACGTAACACTCGGTCTTGTCTTGATTTAGCTGGAGGAAATTGTGAGCCATCCAAGTATTTAAAATCACTACTACAGTCTAAATTATCCGTGGAGATAAAATCCTCTGGTGACACAAATGTAAAGTTGTGTATCATCTGCATAGCAGTGAAAATCAATGCTGTGCTTTCTGATAACGCTGCCAAGGGGTAACATATACAGTGCCTTCGGAAAGTATTCAGACCCCTTGACTTTCTCCACATTGTTATATTATAGCCTTATTCTAAAATGTATTAAATTGTTTTCTTCCCTCATCAATCAAAAACAGGTTTTTAGAAATGTTTGCTAATTTATAAATTTAAAAAAACGGAAATATCACATTTACATAAGTATTCAGACCCTTTACTCAGTACTTTGTTGAAGCACCTTTGGCAGCGATTACAGCATTGAGTTTTCTTGGGTATGACGCTACAAGCTTGGCACACCTGTATTTGGGGAGTTTCTCCCATTCTTCTCTGCAGATCCTCTCAAGCTCTGTCAGGTTGGATGGGGAGCATTGCTGCACAGCTATTTTCAGGTCTCTCCAGAGATGTTAGATCGGGTTCAAGTCCGGGCTCTGGCTGGGCCACTCAAGGACAATCATAGACTTGTCCCGAAGCCACTCCTGTGTTGACTTGGCTGTGTGCTTTGGGTCGTTGTCCTGTTGGAGGGTGAACCTTCGCACCAGTCTGAGATCCTGAGCGCTCTGGAGCAGGTTTTCATCAAGGATCTCTCTGTACTTTGCGCAGATAATCTTTGCCTCGATCCTGACTAGTCTCCCAGTCCCTGCCGCTGAAAAACATCTCCACAGCATGATGCTAGCACCACCATGCTTCACCATAGGGATGGTGTCAGGTTTCCTCCAGACGTGACACTTGGCATTCAGGCCAAAGAGTTCAATCTTGGTTTCATCAGACCAGAGAACCTTGTTTCTCATTGTCTGAGTCTTTAGGTGCCTTTTGGCAAACTTCAAGCGGGCTGTCATGTGCCTTTTACTGAGGAGTGGTTTCCGTCTGGCCACTGTACCATAAAGGCCAGATTGGTGGAGTGCTGCAGAGATGGCTGTCCTTCTGGAGGTTCTCCCATCTCCACAGAGGAACTCTAGAGCTCTGTCAGAGTGACCATTAGGTTCTTGGTCACCTCCCTGACGAAGGCCCTTCTCCCCCGATTGCTTAGTTTGGCCGGGCGGCCAGCTCTAGGAAGAGTCTTGGTGGTTCCAAACACCTTCCATTTAAGAATGATGGAGGCCACTGTGTTCTTGGGGACCTTCAATGCGGCAGACATTTTTTGGTAGCCTTCCCCAGATCTGTGCCTCGACACAATCCTGTCTCGGAGCACTAAGGACAATTCCTTCGACCTCATGGCTTGGTTTTGCTCTTACATGCACTGTCAACTGTGGGACCTTATACAGACAGTTGTGTGCCTTTCCATGTCCAATCAATTGAATTTCCCACAGGTGGACTCCAATCAAATGGAAGAAACATCTCAAGGATGATCAATGGAAACAGGATGCACCTGAGCTCAATTTCGAGTCTCATAGCAAAGGGTCTGAATAGTTATGTAAATAAGCTATTCGTTTTTTTTATTTTTATAAATGTGCAGAGATTTCTAAAAACCTGTTTTCTCTTTGTCATTATGGGGTATTGTGTGTACATTGCTGAGAAAAAATTCATATTTAATCAATTTTAGAATAAGGCTGTAACGTAACAAAATGTGGGAAAAGTCAAGGGGTCTGAATACTTTCCGAAGGCATTGTATAAACTGAACAGTACCGGACCCAAAATCGAACATTGTGGAACGCCACATGTGATATGTATTTTCTCTGAGTTATGTTCATCAAGGGTGACAAAAAACTCTCGACCAGTTAAATAGGTCCTAAACCAATTTAGAACTTGACTGGAGGCCAACCCACCTCTCCAGTCTGTCCAGAAGGGCATCATGTTCAACGGTGTTGAATGCAGCACTTAAATACAAGAGTACAAGGACAGAAAGCTGTTTGGCATCCGTGTTGGCTCTAAGATAATGTACCACTTTAACTGAGGCTGTTTCTGTGCTGGGCACGGAAACCAGATTGGATTTTTTTTTATATATATGGTTGGCACTTTAAAAAATAATTTAGCTGTTTGAAAACCAATTCCTCCTGAGTGTTGCTTAAGAATGGAAGGTTGGAGATTGGCTGAAAATGTCTTTAAGCTTAAGAATCTAGAATACTTTTCTTCAGAAGGCGTTTCACCCATAGCAGTTTTCTGTGCAGTGGGGAAAGTGCTTGTGAACAGGGAGTGATTAACAATAGCTTGCACTTCTTCAGATATGCAATTAAAAACTGTTTCGAAGGTGGTGGGGATAGGATCGAGAAGGCAAGTAGAAGGCTTAAATTGTGATATAACTTTAATGAGCAAGTAAGTCTGTCAACCAGGGAAAATACATCCATAGTGCTTTTGCATGGTAGGATTGGGCACAAATCATCAAACTTCTCATCAGGTCTTGCTTGACTGATACTCAGCCTAATGTTGGTTATCTTATCTCTGAAATATGCCGCAAACTCATCACATTTAGACGTGGAGGAAAGTTCACATAGGTTTGAGGGGTAGGATTTATCAGGCCATCAAACGTCGAGAAGAGCACTCTCGAAATATTCTGATGAATAATGATCAAGTTAGAAAAATGGCATAGGCCGTCTTCTACATATTCTCACCTGCTCCTCAAAAGCCTCGTCTAAATGTTCGACTGCTGATACCTCATGTCGGCTTCCATTTGATGTTCTGTCTGTCGTATTCCATGGCGTTTCCACTATGCCACTGAGAGATGGTCGCGCCCCTGTCCCGAACTCCAGCAGACAGACAAATACCGCGAGTGTCAGTAGAGGTGACATCCTAGAAATTAACTGCACAAAGCAATATGGAGGCAAGTTTATTCAAAAGTCACGTAACGTGAACAGTCTCAATAACTTCTTAATGCTGCCAGTGTGTTTATCATTTAGTCCGCCAAACTGTAACACTTACAAGCAGCCAAACGCTACAAAATTGCCAAACTTCTTACAGTCCGTGAACCTACAAAATCGTACACATTTTATTATGCCTATAGGCTACTCACACGGGTTACTTTCGCCAGTCCTGAAATACATCTTCTCTTGCCCTGCTGATCAGAGGGTTGAAGAGCCTGGGGTTATTGTCTTTTGTTTTTCTGAGGTAGTATTATAACGACTCGTTAACTGAGTCATGAAACAGATAAGGGAGGCCGCAAAGCATTGATTACGGCAATTGACCTACCTTTTCCAATGCAGCAGGATGGATTGCCCTGCTCAAGGCACGTGAGAAGTGTTCCTAATCGTATTATATCCATGTCCTGGAACAGTTGCTGCAATAACTGGGCTACTGCAACATCTTCAAACCAATATAATAATAGGTGGAGGATTTAACAATGTAGCCTAACAAGGGTTGAATTGAATGAATTTCCACAAAAATAATAATTATCTCAACCTCTGATGATAAGGGCTACTGTATGCAAATTGTTATCACTTAAAGGGGCAAGCAGCAGTTGCTGCGTCCATTTTTGGATGTATAAATTATATGAATATAATTTATAAATGCCTCATGAGCTTAGTTCAACTGTCGTATCCCCATCAGAACCCAAAATATAACCTTGTTTTACTCCAATGTCTGTCAACATTGAACATGTAAACAAACGCTGCATAGGCTTAAAACATGCTTAAAACTGTAACGTTGATATCTTGGCTGGGCAGTCCTTGCATCCATTGCTCTGTCTATGAATTTGAGAGTGGTTACATTTCTCCAGGCCCGTCCCTCAGCTTTTTACCAAAACAGAGGTGGGGTGACCTCTTTCTTATTTTTTCAACCGCAGATTGCCCCTTTAAATGTTGAAGAATACATTACAAGGAAGTAGTAATATCTCACGATCATTCATGAAAGAGAGGGATGACTGGGCCTAATGGGATAATAGATTATGAGTCTGACTTTAACAGTCAAAAGTCCAAAGAGGAGAACTCTCTCTTGAACCCAAGAGCCAGCACACCCTCTCCTGGGCTTTACAAGTGGGATGCACTGTTGAGCGCTAGGCTTGCACCGATGGTCAGGATAAAGATGAGTCTGTGACAGTAGGAGTGAAGTTTTCGGAAAAAGTGGACCCTTGCCTTTTGGCTGATCTTTGTGGTTTCAGGGTGGGTGAAAACAAAGTTGGGTGCTGTGTAATTGGTGAGGGTAACCAGAAGTGGTCTTGTGATAATTGTTTGTGTTTCTGCTGGTCAGAGGTAGCAGGCGCTCTGTGTTAAACGAATGGGGGCCAGAGATGTGATTGTTTTGCTCTCAAGAAAAGAGTGACATTGAAAGGAGTGATTACTGGGTTAGAGGTAAATGTGAAAGCTGACCAACTGAAGAGGAAGATTCCTGGTGATTGTGATGCTCGTCGTTTGGTGCGATGCAGACAGGGTGGCGTGACTGGTGAAACAGAAGAGTCATTGTCTGTTCTTTTGCGTTTTGATGTTGAGTCTTTGGCCGACAAAGTGATGTTAGGATATAAAGTTACCCTGTATGATCTTTTGTGCCGAAAACATTACGTTGTTACAGGTGTCAAGCTTATGGGCATGTGGCAGCAGGGTGTAGGAGTCAGGTTCCTAGGTGTGAGAAGTGTGAAGAAAGTAGAGGAAGATGGGTCAAGGGGGAGGGATCCTGAGAGGAGTGGTGTGAGTAGTAGATCTGTACCAGTACAGAGGGATAAACCAACAAGTGATATATGTTTCAGTAAGATTGGATTTTTGGCATTTATAGCAATGGCTATCAACTGTACTGCTGGGATGGAACATAAGTCGCAGAAAATAGAGGTTGTGGTGGCAGCTGCAGAGAGGTATTTGGGTGTGCGAGATTTGATGTCAGAAGAGTTACAGGGCGTGTTAAGTGGTGGTGTCCCATTCCTTTCAGGCTGTTGGCCTGAAGTAGGACCAAATAGATTTAAATTGTGGAGTATGGTAAATGTTAATATTTCTTTTTTTATTCTATTTTTTTAAGCAAAGTATAAGGGGGTTATACTCCAGTCTAGTAGGTGGCGGTAATGCAGCATTTATTGGATGCCAACTGCTGTTAAACCTCATCAAAGAAGATACCCTCTCCTCGCTGGTTCATCTATGGCCTTCATCTGTGGTGGTCTTGACCCCACAAGAGGCAGTGACACCCTGAAAAAAAAGAGGAGGAAAGTGAGTGGTCCCCCAGTGTGTAATCTCCCAGAGGACTCTAGGAGTCTGCCACCAGTTAAATAAAGGCCCCGTGTAGCTCAGTTGGTAGAGAATGGCACTTGCATTTTAGTCATTTAGCAGACACTCTTATCCAGAGCGACTTACAGTTAGTGAGTGCATACATTTTTTTTTTTTTTTCTCATACTGGCCCCCCCGTGGGAATCAAACCCACAACCCTGGCGTTGCAAACACCATGCTCTACCAACTGAGCTACATCCCTGCCGGCCATTCCTTCCCCTACCCTGTGTGAATTGTGCGCCACCCCGTGGGTCTCCCGGTCGCAGCCGGCTACAACAGAGCCTGGATTCGAACCAGGATCTCTAGTGGCACAGCTAGCACTGCGATGCAGAGCCTTAGACCACTGCGCCACTCGGGAGGACAATGCCAGGGTTGTGGGTTCGTTTCCCACGGGGGCCAGTATGAAAAAATGTATGCACTTACTAACTGTAAGTCGCTCTGGATAAGAACGTCTGCTAAAATGACAAAAAATAAATAAAAATTCCACAGGAAACTGGAGGATGGCCCCAAACTTGAGAGCCCATATCCAAAGACACATGCTGAATTACAAACAAGATTTAGTTATATATTCTTTCAAGTATGTCAACAGAAAAACGAAAGAAAATAATTGTATCCTAAAAAAAATGATATAATTTGATTTAAATAATTTCGGACACCCCCCTCTCTGGTTGCATAGCACCGCGAGGAGGTGTAGGAGTGGCTTGCTTGCTAAACCAGCTACCATACCTAGCTAGCTAATCAGCAGAGAGGTCTGAAATTGTAGCAGCAATTTTGCTTGCGCCTCAAACACGTAAGTGTTTATTCTGATAACAGATTGTTTTATTTTTTGGGGGGAAATGGTTAGTCTGATATAGCTAGCAAGTCAACAACAGCCTGCTGATAGCCAACAGTTGGCTAGCTAATGTTAGCTAGTCAGCTGCAGTGCTAGCTAGGTAGCCAGCATTAGCTAACTAGCTAGTTGGGTTTAGCTATTTTCTAAACAAAAAAACGAATGTTTGGTGGCAACTCGCTAGCTATAAGCTGCAGTACATTCATAGCTAGCAAGCTGTATATCTAGGGGCTAACGTTAGATTGTCACAGTCTGTAAAATGCCCAGTAATATCAGATAGTTAGATATGAGAAAGGGATCTTTTATTTAACCACTCCACAGTCTGCTATGTAGTGCTGCTGCCATAACGTTACTGAAAATAGGTCACCAGTAAGCTTGGCCAATACGAGCCTCCACTCATATAATGGGAGGCTAGACAGTTGGCATACAGATTAGACAGCAAGTGTGTAAAACAGAGATTTTCTCAATTTCAGAAATATTGTCCTTTATTCTACCATTAGGACATTGTTTTTCAATCCAATGTTATGGTTCTGTTGTTCTAGCTTTCCCCCACATTCCTTGATCAGTCTTGACTTGTGTGTCTAGGAAAACAGAATAGCCTAATGAACAGCCTAATTTGATTTAAACTACAGTCTATCATCTATAGTAGCAACACTATATGACCAAAAGTATGTGGACACCTGCACATCTCATTCCAAAATCATGGGCATTAATATGGAGTTGGTCCCCCCTTTGCTGCTATAACAGCCTATGCTCTTCTGGGAAGGCTTCCCACTAGATGTTGGAACATTGCTGCGGGGACTTGCTTCCATTCAGCCACAAGAGCATTAGTGAGGTTGGGCGATTAGGCCTGGCTCGCAGTCGGCGTTCCAATTCATCACAAAAGTCTTCGATGGGGTTGAGGTCAGGGCTCTGTGCAGGCCAGTCAAGTTCTTCCACACCGATCTCGACAAACCAGTTCTGTATGGACCTCGCTTTGTGCACAGAATTGTCTAGGATGTCATTGTACAATATGCTGTAATGTTAAGATTTCCCTTCACTGGAACTAAGGGGCCTAGACCGAACCATGAAAAACAGCCCCAGACCATTATTCCTCCTCCACAAAACTTTACAGTTGCACTATGCATTCGGGCAAGTAGCGTTCTCCTGGCATCCGCCAAACCCAGATTCGTACGTCGGACTGCCAGATGGTTAAGCGTGATTCATCACTCCAGAGAACGTGTTTCCACTGCTCCAAAATCCAATGGCGGCAAGCTTTACACAACTCCAGCCGATGCTTGGCATTGCGCATGGTGATCTTAGGCTTGTGTATGGCTGTTCGGCCATGGAAACCCATTTCATTAAGCTCCCGACGAACAGTTCTTGTGCTGACGTTGCTTCCAGAGGCAGTTTGGAACTCGGTAGTGAGTGTTGCAACCAAGGAGAGACTATTTGTACGCGCTACGGGCTTCAGCACTCGTGGTCCAGTTCTGTGAGCTTGTGTGGCCTACCACTTCGCGGCTGAGCCGTTGTTGCTCCTAGAAATGTCCACTTCACAATAACAGCACTTACAGTTGACCGGGGCAGCACTAGCAGGGCAGAAATTTGACGAACTGACTTGTTGGAAAGGTGGCATCCTATGACAGTGCCACGTTGAAAGTCACTGAGCTCTTCAGTAAGGCCATTCTATTGCCAATGTTTGTCTATGGAGATTGCATGGCTGTGTGCTCTATTTTATACACCTGTCAGCAGTGGGTGTGGCTGAAATAGCCGAATCGACTAATTTGAAGGGGTGTCCACATACTTTTGTATATATGGTGTAGTTGTGATTATACTATTGTGTTAATCAGAATACTCTCAGCCACCACCTGAGAAAATAAACCCTAGTCAGATCAAACTCTACGCTGATGCCCTGTTTCATCATCTTCAGTATGCCAGAAAGACCATCAATTTAGATACTAGCTAGATGTTATCGCTGTGCCCCACTTATTTTACAGCTAAGCTACCAATCATTATTTCATTGTTATGCACTTCGATTTGTGCACCTGCACTGTGCCTGGTCTGAGAAGCATAATATGAAGATGCATGTCATGATTAATTCCAAGGATATTGTGTAGGCCTACTTACTGTGTAATTGCCATAAGGTCCTATACTATTCCTAGTAAATGCCTGGAAATGTGCTACCCAGTTAGGCTTAGCTATGGGTCTGATTGTGTCTGTCTCCCCATACAGTGTGTCATCCAAACCACTCCATGTGACCTTTGACAGTCCTGCTGAATGGGAGAAATGAGGACCATTTGTGAGCGAGGTAACACCACTGCTTTTCTTTTGTTCTCTCACTAATTCTCTCAAGCTAATGAGCCACTCCAAATTGTTTAGTATAATGATATACAGTGCCTTCGGAAAGTATTCAGACCCCTTGACTTTTTCCAAATTTTGTTAGGTTATATATAGCCTTATTCTGAAATGTATTACATTGTTTTTTCCCCTCGTCAATCTACACACAATACCCCATAATGACAAAGCAAAAACAGTAAAAAAAAAAAAAATGTGCTAATTTCTTACAAATAATTAACTGAAGAACCATTTACATAAGTATTCAGACCCTTTACTCAGTACTTTGTTGAAGCACCTTTGGCAGCGATTACAGCCTTGTGTCTTCTTGGGTATGACGCTACAAGCTTGGCATAATTGTATTTGGGGAGTTTCTCCCATTCTTCTCTGCAGATCCTCTCAAGCTCTGTCAGGTTCGATGGGGAGCGTTGTTGCACAGCTATTTTAAGGTATCTCCAGAGATGTTAGATTGGGTTCAAGTCCGGGCTCTGGCTGGGCCACTCAAGCACATTCAGAAACTTGTCCCGAAGCCACTCTTGCGTTGTCTTGGCTGTGTGCTTAGGGTCGTTGTCCTGTTGGAAGGTGAACCTTCGCCCCAGTCAGGTTTTCATCAAGGATCTGTCTGTACTTTGCTTCCATTCATCTTTCCCTCGATCCTGACTAGTCTCCCAGTCCCTGCTGCTGAAAAACATCCCCACAGCATGATGTTGCCACCACCATGCTTCACCATAGGGATGGTGCCAGGTTTCCTCCAGACGTGACGCTTGGCATTCAGGCCTAAGAGTTCAATCTTGGTTTCATCAGACCAGAGAATCTTGTTTCTCATTGTCTGAGAGTCTTTAGGTGCCTTTTGGTAAACTCCAAGCAGGCTGTCATGTGCCTTTTACTGAGGAGTTGCTTCTGTCTGGCCACTCTACCATAAAGGCCTGATTGGTGGAGTGCTGCAAAGATGGTTGTCCTTCTGGAAGGTTCTCCCATCTCCACAGAGGAACTCTGGAGCTCTGTGAGTGACCATCAGGTTCTTGGTCACCTCCCTGACCAAGGCCCTTCTCCCCCGATTGCTCAGTTCGGCCAGGCGGCCAGCTCTAGGAAGAGTCTTGGTGGTTCCAAACCTCTTCCATTTAAGAATGATGGAGGCCACTGTGTTCTTGGGGACCTTCAATGCTGCAGAAATGTTTTGGTACCCTTCCCCAGATCTGTGTCTTGACAAAATCCTGTCTCTGAGCTCTAAGGACAATTCCTTCGACCTCATGGCTTGATTTTTGCTCTGACATGCACTGCCAACTGTGGGACCTTATATAGACAGGTGTGTGCCTTTACAAATCATGTCCAATCAATTAAATTTACCACAGATGGACTCCAATCAAGTTGTAGAAACATCTCAAGGATGATCAAAGGAAACAAGATGCACCTGAGCTCAATTTCGAGTCTCATAGCAAAGGGTCTGAATACTTATGTAAATAAGGTGTTTCTGTTTTTTATATTTAATAAATTAGCAAACATTTTTAAAAACCTGTTTTTGCTTTGTCATTATGGGGTATTGTGTTTAGATTGCTGAGGATTTATTTTAATAAGGCTGTAACGTAACAAAATGTGTCTGAATACTTTCCGAAGGCACTGTAGCTGAAGTTGTTTAATATGGTAACAAGGCTTGACCTTGAAGTTATGTTCATTGCACAGGATAGGGTGCGTATGTTCATTTTGCTGCATTGCTTCTGCAGATATCCCATAAACACTCCTGGACAGGTTTGCATTGGTGTGAAATTGATTTTCTCCAGGCATTGACTCACCTAGCCTGCTTGTATTCTGCAGAAACTGGTGTGTATCAGTGATGTGCCATGGGGTACGACGTCACCAGGTTCCAAGGGGAGGTGGATGAAGACCTGCTGTGTCCCATCTGTAGTATGGTACTGGAGGAGCCAGTGCAGGTTAGTGTCCTTCTATACCTCTCGGCCAGATCTATTGCAAGGACTTATTTTATTAATCCTTTATTTAGACAGGTTATCACTGAGTTCTTAATATAGACCTTTCACCGATTTAAAACAATATACTTATTTCCCCCTCCCATCTTCCCTTTTTCCATCTCTGCTCCTTTTTCTCCTATGTCTAGGCCCCACACTGTGAGCATGCCTTCTGCAACGCCTGCATCACCCAGTGGTTCAACCAGCAGCAGATCTGTCCTGTGGACCGCAGCGTGGTGACACTGGCTCACCTCCGGCCTGTGCCCCGCATCATGCGCAACATGCTCTCCAAACTCCAAATCGCTTGTGACAATGCCGGCTTCGGCTGCACAGCCACACTGCGGCTAGATCAACTACAGTCTCACCTGAAGGACTGCGAACACAACCCCAAAAGACCTGTCAACTGTGAGGAGGGCTGTGGGTGAGTGACCTTAGAGCACATTACACAGCAGAGTAGAACAGACCGGCCAGAATGGAAAAACATGGCTGTGACTTTCGAGTTGCTGGGCATGCCGCACCACCACTGCAGAACGTGAGATTATCTAGTCTTGTATTTAGTATTGTAGTGGTCTCTAGAGTGACCTAGTGGTTTAATTTCAAAATGTCACAATTTCTCCACAGGCTGGAGATGCCGAAAGATGAGATGTGCAACCACAACTGCATCAAGCACATACGTGGCGTGGTACAGCAGCAGCAGACCAAGATCTCTGAACTAGAGAAGAATGCTGCAGAGCACAAACACCAGCTGGGGGAACAAGTAAGCACACACACACACACACGTTGCATACATATACCTCAGTGGAGGCTGCTGAGGGGAGAACGGCTATATAAATGGCTGGAACGGTGCGAATGGAATGGCATCAAACATATGGAAACCATGTGTTTGATGTATTTGATACCATTCCCCTCCAGCCATTACAACGAGCCCGTCCTCCCCAATTAAGGCGCCACCAACCTCCTGTGATATACCTGTATGCAAATCCATTAGTGCTCTGTTCCTCAATGGTCAGGGATCTGATGTGTGTCTTCCTCTGTCAGAAACGGGACATCCAGCTGCTAAAAGCTTACATGAGAGCAATACGCGGTGCCAACCCCAACATGCAGAACCTGGAGGAGAGCATTGAGTACAACGAGATCCTGGAGTGAGTTTACTCTCCTGTCCCCTTGGCCCTCTCCTCTAGGATATTTTCAGAAGTTTCAGCACTTGATTTCAGCCTAAAATCTATTATGTTGGATATTGTTTGAATGTGCTACAATCACTCAAACTCGCTTTAAAATCAATCATATTTAATAAGCCCTTTTTACATCAGCAGTGTTGTCACAAAGTGCTTTAGAGCTAAAGTCCCTATTCCACATCTCACTTGTTCCTCACCTGCCCAACAGATGGGTCAACTCCCTCCAACCTGTGCGGGTGACGCGCTGGGGCGGGATGATCTCCACGCCAGACGCAGTTCTCCAGGCGGTCATCAAGCGTTCACTCATCGACAGCGGCTGTCCTCTGTCCATCGTTAACGACCTGATCGAGAATGCCCACGAAAGGAACTGGCCACAGGGCCTGGCCACGCTAGAGACGCGGCAGATGAACCGGCGCTACTATGAAAACTATGTGGCCAAGAGGATCCCTGGAAAACAGGCGGTGGTGGTGATGGCCTGTGAGAACCAACACATGGGAGAGGACATGATCCTAGAGCCTGGCCTGGTCATGATCTTTGCCCATGGGGTGGAGGAGATCTTATAAGGAGATCCTATAATAACCCAACACTAGGAGCAGGGGGGTCTAGCATGGCAGAGAGGAGTGCAAACCGGGCGTTTTGATTAGTGAGTTATTCCACCTCTCTAAAAAAAAAAATACTCCCCTTCTCAATTGAATGATAATTATGGGTCTATTTCTTAATGACAGTTGATATGTCAGTTTTTATCTCTTTAAAGATAAGTGAAAGGGTGTAGGGGAAATGAAAAGATCTGAATGGCTCCTAAAATGAGCAGAAGAGTATTACTTACATATGAGCTTGTTTAATATCTTTGCCTTAAAAGGACATTTCCAAAAATACACCTGTAAAAAGAGAAGTTAACTGATAATACCCAGGATATTCTAAGATGGAATGTTTACAAGAGTGGCATAATAAAAAGCTATGTCTGATCTTCTCCTAAGCTTCTCTACTTCCCCCCATCCTATACCTTCAATTATGTAAATGAATTAGTATTTAAAAAATCATGTAAATACAAATATTATATTGAAAAAATATACACATTCTCTAGCTATTCTTGTTATACAGTAATTAGACAATGTGAATTTTGTCAGTTGGCATCCATGTGTTTCAGAATGCTGCTCTGGACATTTGCTGACTTCAGCATTGTTTTTGCTAATATGCCATGATGTTTTTCTTCTCCTTTATGACATTTTTTTGTGCCATGCATTTTATTTATAGATTTTGAAGACGTGCTGGGGCGGCATCTCCACGCTAGATGCACTATGCTTGAAGATGTTTTTTGTGTTATGTAAATACATTTGTCATTTTAGACAATTGAAGCTCATTGTTCTTTGCTTCTGTTGTACATAGTGAACATGAAGTTGGGTCCAATTGACGTTAAACCATTGGAATGTAACATTGTGTAGCCTTACCTGTTTCATTTTAATAATGGTTGATGCTTGTTTGTGTTGATATTGACAATTCATATTTTTACCAAACTATTTTATCTAAAAGCTTTGAATTACTGAACGATACTTAGTAACAAACGACAAGGGACTTGATCTAAAGACATGCAGTCAAAAACAACCATGTGGAAATCTAACTTCAAATCTACTTTGTTAGTGTCACCAGAATGTACAAACATTTCAATTAAATAGAGATCAATTTGGATTTTTTTCTGTATCCTATATTTTTTTTCTGCCATTTTGTGTCCTTTTATCTTTTGTGCTGTGACAAAGGAAAAAAATAAAATTGTGATCGTGATTGTCATCATGGTACTGTCTGTACTGCATGGCTTTTTTCTGACGGCATTGAGTCATTCCTACATGCAGGGCCTCTATACATCATGATTTCTGATGATTAGCGCTCTAAGCAGCAGCCTATCTGGCAGAGCTCTCTCCGTCTACCCACACAAACACCCACATGGTCAGACATTGTGTGTCTACAGCAGCAGTGTCTAGTGAGCTCTTGCCAGCAGCCCATACTCTCTATTGAGGATTTTCCTTTTAAATCCTTCCCTTTGTTGTGAATGGTTGGAATGTCATGTGCTTTACCAAATGGCATCTTTTTGTTATTGTGCCTGAAAATCCTCTGGTTCATCATCTGGTATTAAATTATCTAATGGATTGAGACGCCTTTTTACCTGTATGCCAATTTGTTCAGTGCTTCAACCTCATAAATTCACGCCCTCAAAGGGTCAGAATCAATAATTAGTCTACTGTCAATCCATCATTGCCTCAACACACCCTGTTATGGGACTGCTATCTGTCACATTGGATTATCTTTGATGTTGCATAATATAAACTACTAACGTAACAAGGCAATTGGGAGCTCATAGGCCTAACGTCTCGATCACACCGACAGTATCATTGCATTTTGGTACACCAGAACTACATTCATCTCCATTGAACGCTGCGTTTGATTGCAGAGGCAGTTGCAGTGAGTTCTGTGTGGTGCATACATTGGATTTATCGAATTTACGCCTTGATCACACCGACAGTGTCATTGCGCAAAATGGTACACAGCATCATCTGGATATGTGTGCAACAAAAGTTCGACATTCACCTTCTGCTACCATTTCTGTCAAGCCGTCTATGCATACAGTTTGATAAATCCAACGTATGCACTACATATAACGTACTGCAACTGCCTATGCAGTGCAATGCTGCAAGGCAAAGGCAGCGTTCCATTGGAAATGAATGTACTTCCGGTGTACCACAATGCAATAAAACTGTCGGTGTGATCGAGGCGAAACTGGTCCAGACCTCTTGGCTGAAGATGTAGTGCGCTATAGGCTCACAGTGCATTGAAAATCAAATATAGGAAAAAATGAAGTCCTATCGATTGCAACTGGATTTGTCCATCGCTGCTCTATTGCCTAGGGCAAGGCACATAAATGATGAGAGAAGAACGCACATCCATTTACTAGACTAGACTGGGGTAGATAGGACAAGCCCAATGTAGGTTACATCACGGCGTTGGTCAAAGTGCCGGCAGATGACAGTTCGAGGCGGTGCTTTGCTTTTTTTTATAGCTAGGGAGGGGGAAATAGCTGAGTCGGGCGTGGCAGTCAGCCAATCTTTCTTATTATCTCTGGGTAAATGAAAGCTGACAACTAGACTACCTTTATTGCAGCGTCCAGAGACAGTTTCCGTCGATTTGTTGCGTGTAAAAACTTAGAATCGTGCCTCGATCCTCGCGGAGGAAATATCTTACTGGACGAACCGCACGACAATCCGCTTGAAGGACGACGGACGGACAACGCTCATCATCGCGAAATATAGGTAGGCTAATTCATGCTCAAAACAGCCCTCACTCAGTACTACTGGCTGAAGTTCAATGAATCGTGTATGCCTGTTTACAACTTTGCATACATATATTGCCTGTGAATGATTCGTTGCACCACTGCCAAGTTTGGGTAAGATAAATATTTCATGGGAGAGACAGTATCCCTCGCCACGCCCAACGGATCTCAGTTGGTTCCCTGGGTGGGCAAAACAGGCAACTTTTGAGTGGTAGCCTACTGATACATCCAATGATTGGTTTCTATATACATTGGATACATCTGCAGCTTCTGGTACAAGTGGTACGTTTCTCCCCTTTGAAACCTATAGCCTAACCTTTAGACATGCTCCTCTTTAACATAGGACATGTTTTATAGCCTAGATAGATAAGCTACTAAGAAAATAAGTTGAACATACTGTATAAGGTTTACATGGTGTTAAACTGTCACACTTATGGCTCAATTTTGTAGACCAGACAGGTTGGAGATGATAGGTTGGAGACAACTTTTGTAACTGCCTGCAGACCTATGGTGGACTCTTGATGCAAGGAGCTCTGTCTGGATGGAAAATGCAATTTTGGTTTATATGATTTTCATTAACAATGTGACATCCTTGCAAATAACTTTTGACTTTGTGAAGAATAAACCTACTTGCCACCTAAATTATTAAAACAGCTGACAAAGCAACACATTATCAACACACAATAACCACAGTTGTACCATTAAAGACATTATGTTTGTCCCTTCTGATATATTTACTTAGCTGTGTGCTTATATTTCCCTTGGTATGTGTCTCCTTAATTAAGTTACCTATGGGTAAACTAGGTCTTCTGGCCATGCACTTCTGGCCATGCATTTATAATATGTTTGTAAGTAGCAGTCATATTGAGCTGAACTACATTTTGGGCTTTCATCAGGTTTCCTATAACATTTTAAATATTTCTGGGGCATGAAACCACAAACAGTCACAGGGATGGTTCTGAAACTTTTAATTTTGTCTTTTGAGTGTGTATTTTTAGCTGGACATATTGCCAGCATGACATGGCCTAAAGGGTGCCTTGTTAACCCTGTTAACAACTATTCTATAAACAGGACTATTATTTGAACAACAGATTACCCAGAACATTTTAGGGATTTGAAACCAGATGGTCATTTTCCTTGCCAGTGTAATTTTAGCATTTCCATTCAAGTCAAGTGAGGTCATCAGTTCCTACTAAATCTATACCATTTACTGGTTTCCCTCCCCACCGGAAAATTGGTTGCCAAAAAACTGAAACGTTATCCTCATTCCGGGAAAGACTGTCTAGTCTCTTATTGAAAAAGTCATACTCGTAATATGTATCAGATCTCCCTGCACAGGTAAGTAATCAGGGAAACACAGATAGAGGCATTCCTGGTCAGGTCAACCTGTTGGTTAGGAAACAGACTATCTCTACAGACGCATCAGGAAGCGGGTCACACTGTTTCTGCAGAGAAATTAAATGTAACTAATTAAATTAATCTAATGGTGCTCAATAGAGCTAGAGAGGGATTGTGTGTGTGTGTGTGTTGGCATGATGGTAAACAATCCAAAAAAGTGATCATTTACTCCCATTGCCCTATACACAGATTGTACATTAAAATGGTTTTATAATGGCAGTACAGTAAGAGTAAAAAGTTCCTCCAAACATGTGCCAACGCTCAGAACGTGAAAGTGGTGTGGTTACAGGAGGGAGGGGTGCACCCTCACAAGTCCAGGCGGGTTTGTGTTTTCTTCTGTATTGTATGCACCACAGTGTTCCTCGGCAACACACAGCCTGCTTAATAGTATTTTAGTGATGTCAAGAGTGATGGGCCATACACTCATTGTTTGGTATAAAAAAGAGGCAACAAGCTGTGCCTCGCCCACATTTGCCAGAAATGTGTGATTCATGCATAGGAGCCAAAGTCAGTTTTTCCACTCAGACAAACCCTGCCTGACATCTGACATTTGTTGTTTACGTCTCAAATGTCATTAACCAAGTAAAGGGTGAAGTTCCAGTGATCCAAACTTTGTTATCAAGAAGTTGCACTCCAGCTCTGTGGTCAACACTCAATAAAAAATATACAAAACTTTGCAAAACTCATGTCACAGGCTTTGTTTTATTTTGGATGAACCCTGAGAGGTGACCTTCTGAGCAAAGGGTCCATTTAGAGCAGGGATGTCAAACTCATTTAGCCCCGGGGGGCGCATTCGGTCTTCACCAAGGTCCGGAGGGCCGCACTGAAAATTGGTTATATTTCCTCGCCGTCAAAATGTGCAAAAAATAGTCCTCTATCCATCGATTTTGGAATTTTCAATGCTCCCTATCTAGCTTTCATTTAGGTGATTATTAGCAAGCTGGACACAATATATTTGTAGGTCCATTATCATTTCTACACTGTTTCTATTTGGTTTTAGTCATTTTGCCCCTTTAGTCATTTTTTTTCTCTCAAACCACCTGTGGGCTGGATTGGACCCTGTATGTTTAACACCCCTGATTTAGAGAGAGGGAGTATTCCCCCATTCACAGGATGAGTAACAGTACTAGCATCTACAGTGGGGTAAAAAAGTATTTAGTCAGCCACCAATTGTGCAAGTTCTCCCACTTAAAAAGATGAGAGAGGCCTGTAATTTTCATCATAGGTACACGTCAACTATGACAGACACAATGAGAAAAAAACTTCCAGAAAATCACATTGTAGGATTTTTAATGAATATATTTGCAAATTATGGTGGAAAATAAGTATTTGGTCAATAACAAAAGTTTCTCAATACTTTGTTATATACACTTTGTTGGCAATGACACAGGTCAAACGTTTTCTGTAAGTCTTCACAAGGTTTTCACACACTGTTGCTGGTATTTTGGCCCATTCCTCCATGCAGATCTCCTCTAGAGCAGTGATGTTTTGGGGCTGTCGCTGGGCAACACGGACTTTCAACTCCCTCCAAAGATTTTCTATGGGGTTGAGATCTGGAGACTGGCTAGGCCACTCCAGGACCTTGAAATGCTTCTTACGAAGCCACTCCTTCGTTGCCCGGGCGGTGTGTTTGGGATCATTGTCATGCTGAAAGACCCAGCCACGTTTCATCTTCAATGCCCTTGCTGATGGAAGGAGGTTTTCACTCAAAATCTCACGATACATGGCCCCATTCATTCTTTCCTTTACACGGATCAGTCGTCCTGGTCCCTTTGCAGAAAAACAGCCCCAAAGCATGATGTTTCCACCCCCATGCTTCACAGTAGGTATGGTGTTATTTGGATGCAACTCAGCATTCTTTGTCCTCCAAACACGACGAGTTGAGTTTTTACCAAAAAGTTATATTTTGGTTTCATCTGACCATATGACATTCTCCCAATCCTCTTCTGGATCATCCAAATGCACTCTAGCAAACTTCAGACGGGCCTGGACATGTACTGGCTTAAGCAGGGGGACACGTCTGGCCCTGCAGGATTTGAATCCCTGGCGGCGTAGTGTGTTACTGATGGTAGGCTTTGTTACTTTGGTCCCAGCTCTCTGCTGGTCATTCACTAGGTCCCCCCGTGTGGTTCTGGGATTTTTGCTCACCGTTCTTGTGATCATTTTGACCCCACGGGGTGAGATCTTGCGTGGAGCCCCAGATCGAGGGAGATTATCAGTGGTCTTGTATGTCTTCCATTTCCTAATAATTGCTCCCACAGTTGATTTCTTCAAACCAAGCTGCTTACCTATTGCAGATTCAGTCTTCCCAGCTTGGTGCAGGTCTACAATTGTGTTTCTGGTGTCCTTTGACAGCTCTTTGGTCTTGGCCATAGTGGAGTTTGGAGTGTGACTGTTTGAGGTTGTGGACAGGTGTCTTTTATACTGATAACAAGTTCAAACAGGTGCCATTAATACAGGTAACGAGTGGAGGACAGAGGAGCCTCTTAAAGAAGAAGTTACAGGTCTGTGAGAGCCAGAAATCTTGCTTGTTTGTAGGTGACCAAATACTTATTTTCCACCATAATTTGCAAATAAATTCATTAAAAATCCTAAAATGTGATTTTCTGGAGAAAAAAAATCTCAATTTGTCTGTCATAGTTGACGTGTACCTATGATGAAAATTACAGGCCTCTCTCATCTTTTTAAGTGGGAGAACTTGCACAATTGGTGGCTGACTAAATACTTTTTTCCCCCACTGTACATGTGAATTGCAATCCAGTCTGTGTGGCCTTTAGTTTAGAAGGCCCAAGCAGAGCTGAGTGGCGTGGGAGGAGAGGTGGTGGCGCCGGGGAACACTCATAGCGGCTGGCTGGGCTGAGGGCTCCCCTGCCCTCCCTCCCTCCCATTAGTCACTCGTGGCAATTCTCGAATGGAGCGTAGCTGATGTAGGGGAAACACTTTCCATAGCAACCAAGCATGTCCTTCCTTCCGTCTGCTAACCTACCTGATGTAATTTAGGTGGGTGCTTATATTTGTCCTATTTAACACATGCATAAGTGTGTATTATAGCCATGTGTGAATTGGAAAAGTTTTTTTTGCATATCCCAACTCCCCCTGAGAGAGAGTGGGGACACACATGGTCACGGCCAGGGTCTGCCATTATCAACGGCAACTCTGGAGCAATTAGGGTTAAGTGTCTTGCTCAAGGGCACAGACAGATTTTTCACCACCTCGGCTCTGGGATTCAAACTAGCTTCATTTCAGTTACTGGCCCAATGCTCTAACCGCTAGGCTACCTGCCACCCAGTATACAAGGGAGTATTAAGAACACAGAGGCATTCCACAGGCAGATAAGAACCTGCTGAGGTTTCTGTTGTGCCTGGATGGATGGTTGCCTGGATCTCCCCCTTTCAGCTCTACCAATCTACTCACCTGTTTATCACAATCGGCACAATCCTGACGTGTGTGTGTGAGGTTGGGATGGGATGGGGGATATGGGGGGCTCATGAGGTGGCCCAGTTTGGGGCCCTTTTCGACTTCCAGTGCCTTTTTTATATATATGTATATCACACATTGTTCTGTCTGGTAGTGATTTCCAGTCTGCATGTAAAAATCCTGCATGCAAATATCATATCTGATCAGGAAGTAGAGAATCAGATTTTACCCAGGTTGCTCTGGCTTAAATCATGTCAGACAAGGATTGTACACCGTCTGTCCGACATGAGGGAATAGAGGCATGCATATGTCAGCGTGTTGCTTTGAAGGGCATGAAGAACGGCCATCTGCCATATTGCCATAGGCAAGGGAACGCATCTAGAAGTAGCCTAAAACTGGATTTTCCATGTGTTGTTTAGAAGCACTTCTTTACTATGCTCTTAGAGATTACTTTTTTAATGTTCAAGTTAGCAGAAATGAGCAATTCAGATTTTATTTGATTGATTATTTGAACTGTATGGTTAAGGCCCTAACAGGAATCCAAAAATGTAGCATTATGTGCAGTATAAAACAAGTCGTTGGAGTTGGTTGTTAAGATTCTTATTTAAAGGCCTGCCATATTTCACTTTTTCCATCAACAAGTGCAGGTTAACGTTTATTGTCATGAGTTTTGTCCTGGAGGTAGAACTGGGTAATTTCCACTTAGATAGGCCAGCTGTAAAGTCAAAATTGTCTATATTGTAAAAATTCATTGTTGCTTTTTGGTCTTAATTTAAGGTTATGGTTAGGCATTAGGGTTAGCAGTGTGATTAGGTTTGTGGCTGTGGTAGCTAGTGACCTCTCTGCAGAGCTGCCTCCCAGATTCATGACGAAAAACAATAACCTACTCAACAAGTGGCACTTTCCTGTCAATTCTCTACTCCCTCAGCTAATTGGCTGCCTGAACAAAACTGCTAGGCAACGCTGCTAACCTTTTTGAGGAGAATTTAGTAGGAACAGCGTGACCCTTTGTTGGCAGAGAGAGGCTGTGGTTCCGCGTCACATGGAAAGAGTGGGCGTTTAGGAGTTTAATTAGATTTTCTCAGTACTACTCCATGACTGACTTTTGACATCTGACTGCTGTAGATATATACTGACTCTGGTTGACCTATACTCCTGTGGTGGTATTAGGGAATGGAACAGTAACCCATTTTTAAACTGAGATTATGGTTAATACAATTATTTTATGATTTGGAAAACTGGGTCAGACATTTTAAAGAACAAAGCTTTGGGGAGACTGAAACTCTTGAGACGTATAATGTCTCTGGTGTGTCTGTGGCCTGATACTGCTTATTTAGAGCTTTGAGACGTTCTAAATAAAGTACAGTGGTCAGAGGTGTGAAGTGTAGCTTGACGCTGTTTATGCTTAGCAGCTTGGAACGGGGCTACATAGTTTTGCTCATTGTAATTTGAAACATGGAATGTCCTTTGAAACATGGGAGTGGGAAGAGGGGCTTCTGACAAATGTTTGCTCTGAACCCTATTAACATCATCACTGGAGATGACTAAAGGGCATTGAGGGGTATTTGCAAGCCAGAGCTGGTGTTGAACTGTGGTTCATGCCAATTTGCAGATTAAAATCTTGTGGGTTTAAACAGGCCGTTGCTAACTGGTTTGCATGGGGTTCTGATCTGAAGCGTCTTGCGACTTTATTTCTAAACAAAGCCTTGCGAGTTACCACCTTTCACTGTTATGTTCAGCTTACAATTCTGGTTTGATGTCTGAGCCGCCTCCATTTCACATTCACACAGCAGAAGACTGATACAACTCGTGTTCCTCCTCCTCTCGCCCTCCAGCGGTTTGTGCAGACGCAGGCAGCATGTCCGCCCCCACAGACCCAGAGGTGAAGGAGCTGAACCCAGTCGACTTCATCCAGCTACAGCAGTACATTGACTGTGAGTACAGACAGGCAGGCAGGCAGTCTCCTTAGCCATGCACCCCTTTCCATTTACACCCACACGCTGTCATATCTGGAAGTGGTGGTGAGTGTCTCTCATATTTCTAAGTATCTGCAAAACGTTGCACCATTGCGCCCACATAATTTTTCTTGGTAGATCTCTGGATTTAGACATTTTGTGAACATCAATGTTAAGGAACATTTAAGGACTGGAAAACTGGATTTCTTATCATAGGGTCCGTTATCCATTTGAATTTCAATGCCGTAATACACCGGTCTTGTATGAATGTTGCTATGTAGAACATATTTGTAGTTTTCCATCTGTATAGTTTCTGATTTATAATTTGTGATTCTATACGCATTCTCTGTTAGAATCATTACTTAGACAGTGTGATGTTTGTAGTACTCTAAAATAAGAGTTTGTGGTGTGTGTTTCTTCTCATCCCAGACTGCAGGCTGAGGGTTAAAGATGTGCTGAGGGAATTTGATGCGGATGGCAGGCTGGCCCAGCACAGACATGGAGAGGTGAGAGGAAACCATGGCCATGTCGATACTGACCCCACCACAACCGCTCTCAGTCCCTCTTGATAAATGTCTAGGGTACATTACTACACAGCTTGTGCTCATGTGATACCCCCCAAAAACAATCATTGGTTTCCTAATAGTAAATCCAATTTAATTAAAACATGTATCATGTTGATGAATGTGACATGACTACCTGAGTGAACTGCTATATAAATCAGGGGTGTCAAACGTACGGCCCGCGGGCCGGATCAGGCCCGCAAACGGGTTTAATCCGGCCCGCGAGATGATAAAAATAATATATATATTTGTGTAAAGTATAAAAATGCGCTGCAATTTTTCAATAAAATAAACTGCTGTTCCAATTGCGTCCACTGGATGGCGTAATAGCAATTGTGTTAAGCAAGCAAACTGTTTATACCGGGGCAGAGCAAGTAGGTCAAGCACGTGCAGCCAATGAGCTACTTTGTTTTGCCCGCGATATTTATTACGGCTTCTACTTTTAACATTATGTGCTTTGGCACCCTCATTGCCCCAATATGTCTCTGTCAAAAAAGAGAAAAGTGGACGCAGAGTGCAGAGTGTTCCAAGAAAAATGGTCATCCTATTTAATCACGGAATTGAATGGGAAAGCTGTATGTTTGGTGTGTTCAGAGCATGTTGCAGTGCTGAAAGAATATAACTATGTGAGTCTTCATGCCGACAAATATGACAACTTTCAAGGACAGCGGAGATGAGAGAAGGTGAATGAACTGTTGGCGGGTCTGAAGAAACAGCAGTCTGTGTTTACTCACAGCCGAGACATCAGTGACGCTGCAGTGAAAGCTAGCTACCTCATTGCTAATGAAATCGCAGTGGCTTCAAAACCATTTAGTGAGGGTGAATTTGTAAAAACATGCATGATGAAGGCAGCGGAGATTGTGTGCCCTGAAAAGCGGCAGGCTTTTGCAAATATCAGCCTGACAAGAAACACAGTTGCAGACAGGATTTCCGATCTTTCAGTGGATTTGGACAGCCAGTTGAAGCAAAAAGTAAAGTCATTTATTGCGTTTTCGGTTGCAGTTGATGAAAGCACGGACATTACAGATGTTGCACAACTGGCCATTTTCATCCGCGGAGTTGATGACACATTGACCGTCACCGAGGAGTTCGTGGAGTTGGTGCCGATGACAGATACAACGACAGCAGCTGATATTTTTACCGCACTCGTCGGCGCGCTGGACAGGGTCGGAGTGGACTGGTCCCGCGCTGTCAGCCTGGCTACAGATGGTGCGCCCTCAATGATCGGGAAAAAAGCAGGCGTTGTGACAAAGTTCAGAGAGAAAGTGCAATCTGCAAATGGAGGACGTGATTTTTTGACTTTTCACTGTATTTTGCACCAGGAGGCTTTGTGTTGCAAGTCATTAAAGATGGATAACGTCATGAAGGTGGTCATCCAAACTGTTAATTTCATCCGATCCAGAAGCCTGAATCACCGTCAGTTTGACAGCCTTCTCAGAGAGAAAGACCACATCTATGGCCTGCCATACCACACTGAGGTAAGATGGTTAAGCCGAGGTGCTGTGCTGAGGCGTTTCTTTGATTTACGAGAAGAAATTGAACAGTTCATGGAAGAAAAGGGCAAACCAGTGTTAGAATTTCATTCCGCAGAATGGATGCAGGACCTTGCATTTATGGTGGATGTTACAGAGCACCTGAATAACTTGAACAAACAGCTGCAAGGGCGCAACAAAGTTGTCACGCAGTATTATGACAGCATACGTTCTTTCAAGTTGAAGCTGTCATTGTGGGAGACGCAACTTGCCGGTGGTGATGCAGCTCACTTCCCCTGTCTGAAAAATGTGTGCGCGACCCAACATGTGGCAGACATGAAGCAGTTCAAAGATAAAATAACGGGACTGTTACGGGAGTTTGAGCAACGCTTTCAGATTTATGTTTATATGTTTTTATGTTGATGTGCTATTGTTTTTAATTGATTTTATTTTATTTGTATATTTAACCTATTCTTGACTCTGTGGTTCTTGCACTTGTTTGGGGAACAGGATTTCATTATTTTTATCTACATTTCTGCCTGAGAAATGACACCCTGATATAGTTCTGTGATCTGTGAAACAGTTCTGTTAATCACTGAGGCATTGTGTGTTTGTGTGTTCTTTGTCCTCAGAACTTTCAAATAACTTGAGGTGTTTTATGATTAATAGTGATGTTGTGCTTTTGGACACTGTCCTCAGGCTCCAGCTTTATGTTTTTATGTTGATGTGCTATTGTTTTTAATTGATTTTATTTTATTTGTATATTTAACCTATTCTTGACTCTGTGGTTCTTGCACTTGTTTGGGGAACAGGATTTCATTATTTTTATCTACATTTCTGCCTGAGAAATGACACCCTGATATAGTTCTGTGATCTGTGAAACAGTTCTGTTAATCACTGAGGCATTGTGTGTTCTTTTTCTTTAGAATTTTCAAATAAACTTGACGTGTTTTATGATTAATAGTGATGTTGTGCTTGTACTATTTTGGACACACTGTCCTCAGGCTCCAGCTTTATGTTGTATGTTGATCGTATTAAAACAAAGAAAACAATCTGAAGTTGTTGTTTTTAAGTTATATATACCATGATTTTTCCGGTCCGGCCCACTTGGGAATAGATTTTCCTCCATGTGGCCCCTGAGCTAAAATGAGTTTGACACCCCTGATATAAATCCAATCAATTAGGAAAGACATGTCTTCAGGGGTTGATGAATTTTCAAGCAGCTGAAGTTGCTAATGGAAATTACCTCTTCAATTGTGCCAATTCTGCAAGGTCCATGTGAGTGGTGTGCTGGCCTCATGCAGAGTAAGCCATTAGGTGATTTAACTGGACAGTTTTTCCAATATTGCCGATATCAGCAGTTGGATTTGCCAAATAATTAGGGTAATTCCCATCTTCTCCAAGAGGAATACAAACAGCACAGTGGTAGACTAGCAGTAATTTAGGGGAAACAATGGGTTACAGAAATAAATACATTTTGCAATGAGGATAATGACAGAGAAGCCGCACCCTCTCAAAGTACTGTGTAATTACCAAGGAAGTGGAAAATCGGACAAACGGAACAGAACATTTTTTGCGTGGTTATCTAACCCCTTTGTTTTCTCCTTCTCTACACCAGCCTCCTTAACATTGAGGTTGGGCTGCATTGTGGGGTCATAATTTATTACTGGGGCAGTTATGTAGCATATCACCCAGGGAAAAGCAACCGCAACCAAAAATGGGTTTGTGGTTCAGTATTCCAGAGGGAGTTCTGATTTGAAGCCCTTAAGCAAATTACTCCTCCTACATTTTTCCAGAAATATCAGGTGGCACAAATGGATGAAATGTGATCTTTATGAGTATCTGTTAACCTGTTGTATTCAGGAAAAGGGTCAGAGGTTAAAATTACGCACCAAACTTATTTTGAACAGCCTGAATTCAAATTGATTACATTGATTTTGTTCTCACCCATCTACACACAATACCCCATAATGAAAAGTTTGGACACAATTACTCATTCAAAGGTTTTTCCTTATTTTTGACTATTTTCTACATTGTAGAATAATACTGAAGACATCACATGAAATAACACATGGAATCATGTAGTAACCAAAAAAGTGTTAAACAAATCAAAATATATTTGAGATTCTTCAAAGTAGCCACCCTTTGCCTTGATGACAGCTTTGCACACTCTTGGCATTCTCTCAACCAGCTTCATGAGGAATGCTTTTCTAACATTCTTGAAGGAGTTCCCACATATGCTGTTGGCTGCTTTTCCTTTACTCTGCAGTCCAACTCATCCCAAACCATCTCAAATGGGTTGAGGTCAGGTGATTGTGGAGGCCAGGTGATCTGATGCTGCACTCCATCCCTCTCCTTCTTGGTCAAATAGCCCTTACACAGCCTGGAGGTGGGTTTTGGGTCATTGTCCTGTTGAAAAACAAATTATAGTCCCACTAAGCGCAAACCAGATGGGATGGCATATCGCTGCATAATGCTGTGTTAGCCATGTTGGTTAAGTGTGCCTTGAATTCTAAATAAATCACTGACAGTGTCACCAGCAAAGCACCATCACACCTCCTCCTCCATGCTTCAAGGTAGGAACCACACATGTGGAGATCCTCCGTTCACCTACTCTGCGTCTCACAAAGACACGGCGGTTGGAACCAGAAATCTCAAATTTGGACTCATCAGACCAAAGGACAGATTTCCACCGGTCTAATGTCCATTGCTCGTGTTTCTTGGCCCAAGCAAGTCTCTTCTTCATATTGGTGTCCTTTAGTAGTGGTTTCTTTGCAGCAATTCGACCACGAGGGCCTGATTCACGCAGTCTCCTCTGAACAGTTGATGTTGAGATGTGTCTATTACTTGAACTCTGAAGCATTTATTTGGGCTTAGTTTATTCAGCTAGCTAACTTGGTACAGTATTCTTCAGTGAAAACCGTCCTTAGCCAAATACATTTAAACTCAGTTTTTCACAATTCCTGACATTTAATCCTAGTAAAAATTCCCTGTCTTAGGTCAGTTAGGATCACCACTTTATTTTAAGAATGTGAAATGTCAGTATAATAGTAGAGAGAATTATTTATTTCAGCTTTTATTTATTTCATCACATTCCCAGTGGGTCAGAAGATTACATACACTCAATTAGTATTTGGTAGCATTGCCTTTAAATTGTTTAAATTGGGTCAAATGTTTCAGGTAGCCTTCCACAAGCTTCCCACAATAAGTTGGGTGGATTTTTGCCCATTCCTACTGACAGAGCTGGTGTAACTGAGTCAGGTTTGTAGGCATCCTTGCTCGCACACACTTTTTCAGTTCTGCCCACAAATGTTCTATAGGATTGAGGTCAGGGCTTTGTGATGGCCACTCCAATACCTTGACTTTGTTGTCCTTAAGCCATTTTGCCACAACTTTGGAAGTATGCTTGGGGTCATTGTCCATTTGGAAGACCCGTTTGCGACCAAGCTTTAACTTCCTGACTGATGTCTTGAGATGTTGCTTCAATATATCCACATAATCTTCCTTCCTCATGATGCCATCTATTTTGAAGTGCACCAGTCCCTCCTGCAGCAAAGCACCCCCAAAGCATGATGCTGCCACCCCCGTGCTTCACTGTTGGATGGTGTTCTTCGGCTTGCAAGCCACCACCTTTTTCCTCCAAACATAACGATGGTCATTATGGCCAAACAGTTCTATTTTTGTTTCATCAGACCAGAGGAAAATTTCTCCAAAAAGTACGATCTTTGTCACCATATGCAGTTGCAAACCGTAGTCTGGCATTTTTATGGCAGTTTTGGAGCAGTGGCTTCTTCCTTGCTGAGCGGCTGTCACGCCCTGACTCAGGGGACTCGTATATGTTGAGTCAGGGTGTGTAGTTTCTATGTTGTGTATTTCTATGTTGTAGTTCTAGTATGTCTAGATCTATGTTGGCCGGTGTGGTTCCCAATCAGAGGCAGCTGTCGCTCGTTGTCTCTGATTGGGGACCATACTTAGGCAGCCTATTGGCACTAGTGGGTTGTGCGATTTTGTTCCGTGTGAGGTATGTTGTGTGTGTACCTTGGACTTCACGTTTCTTGTTTTGTCGTTGTGTTTAATAGTCAAATAAACATGTATGCATATCACGCTGCGCCTTGGTCTGACCCGTTCATGAACGATCGTGACAGCGGCCTTTCAGGTTATGTCGATATAGGACTCGTTTTACTGTGGATATAGATACTTTTGTACCTGTTTCCTCCAGCATCTTCACAAGGTCCTTTGCTGTTGTTATGGGATTGATTTGCACTTTTCGCACCAAAGTACCTTCATCTCTAGGAGACAGAACGCGTCTCCTTCCTGAGCGGTATGACGGCTGCGTGGTCCCATGGTGTTTATACTTGCATACTATTGTTTGTACAGATGAACGTGGTACCTTCAGGCGTTTGGAAATTGCTCCCAAGGATGAACCAGACTTGTGGAGGTCTACAATATTTTGTCTGAGGTCTTGGCTGATTTATTTTGATTTTCCCATGATGTCAAGCAAAGAGGCACTGAGTTTGAAGGTAGGCCTTGAAATACATCCACAGGTACACCTCCAATTGACTCAAATGATGTCAATTAGCCTATCAGAAGCTTCTAAAGCTATGACATCATTTTCTGGAATCTTCCGAGCTGTTTAAAGGCACAGTCAACTTAGTTTATTTAAACTTCTGACCCACTGGAATTGTGATACAGTGAATTATAAGTGAAATATTCTGTCTGTAAACAATTGTTGGAAATATTGCTTGTGTCATGCACAAAGTAGATGTCCTAACCGACTTGCCAAACTATAGTTTGTTAACAAGAAATGTGTGGAGTGGTTGAAAAACAAGTTTTAATGACTCCAACCTAAGTGTATGTAAACTTCCGACTTCAACTGTATATCTGTTTGGGCTTCTTGCGGTGCATTTGCAGTCTACAAATTACAGTGCATTCGGGAAGTATTCAGACCCCTTGACTTTCTCCACATTTTGTTACGTTACAGCCTTTTTCTAAAATGGATAAAATTGTTTTTTCTTCTTCTCATTAATCTACACACAATATCCCATAATGTCAAAACAAAAACAGGTTTTTAGAAATTTTAGCAAATATATAAAATAAAAAAACAGAACTATCACATTTACATAAGTATTCAGACCCTTTACTCAGTACTTTGTTGAAGCACCTTTGGCAGCGATTACAGCCTTGAGTCTTCTTGGGTATGATGCTACAATCTTGGCACACCTGTATTTGGGGAGTTTCTCCCATTCTTCTCTGCAGAACCTCTCAACCTCTGTCAGGTTGGATGGGGAGTGTCGCTGCAAGGCTATTTTTAGGTCTCTCCAGAGATGTTAGATTGGGTTCAAGTCCGGGCTCTGGCTGGGCCACTCAAGCACATTCAGAAACTTGTCCCGAAGCCACTCCTGCATTGTCTTGGCTGTGTGCTTAGGGTCTTGTCCTGTTGGAAGGGGAACCTTTGCCCCAGTCTGAGGTCCTGAGCGCTCTGGAGCAGGTTTCTATCAAGGATCTCTCTCTACTTAGCTCCGTTCATCTGTCCCTCGATCCTGACTAGTCTCCCAGTCCCTGCCACTGAAAAACATCCCCGCAGCATGATGCTACCACCACCATGCTTCACCGTAGGGATGGTGCCAGGTTTCCTCCAGACTTGACGCTTGGCATTCAGGCCAAAGAGTTCAATCTTGGTTTCATCTGAGAGTCTTTAGGTGCCTTTTGGCAAACTCCAAGTGGGCTGTCATGTGCCTTTTACTGAGGAGTGGTTTCCGTCTGGCCACTCTACCATAAAGGCCTGATTGGTGGAGCCCTGCAGAGATGGTTGTCCTTCTAGAAGGTTCTCCCATCTCCACAGAGGAACTCTGGAGCTATGTCAGAGTGACTATTGGGTTCTTGGTCACCTCCCTGACCAAGGCCCTTCTCCCCCGATTGCTCAGTTTGGCCGGGCGGCCAGCTCTAGGAAGAGTCTAGGTTCCAAACTTCTTCCATTTAAGAATGGTGGAGGCCACTGTATTCTTGGGGACCTTCAATGCTGCAGAAATGTTTTGGTACCTTTCCCCAGATCTGTGCCTCAACACATAGTCAAGGGGTCTGAATACTTTCCGAATGCACTGTATTTGTAAATATGTTCCGGCCCCCTGACCATCCCCTCAAGAAAATATATAGTTGATGATCCCTGCTCTAGGAATTGGTCTTCTCACCTAAATCAATGCTCTGAATCAGACTGTTTTGATGACTATTTTGAAAACTATCAATCTCCCATCAATTTACTGATTTACTGATTGATTAATATCCCATCTCCTGTTCCAGTGTATCAATGAGGAAGGCTTCCGTCTCTTCCTGAAGAGCTATTTGGAGGTTGAGGACTTCCCTAAGGATCTCTGCCAGCGCCTGTTCCGATCCTTCCAGAGCGGAACCCAACTGGACGGGCAGGACAACGCTAGTATGTTTATTTTCCCTTGTGTAGAATACCTCTGAAATACCATGTGTAGGCCTGTTTTGTTGTCTATAGTTTAGTCATCAGTTTCACTATTGCTATGTGCTGGTTTATTTATCAAAGTCCACAGACTGAACCTGAATATGTAGCTATACTGTGTATTCACTTCACCATCCTCCTCCCCCTCCTTGTCCTCGTCCTCTCCTTTAGAAGAGGTCTTTTTGAAGGACGTTTCTTGTTACTTCTCCCTGTTGGAGGATGGCCAGCCCAGAGACAAGCTGGAGTGTGAGTCTTGATCCTGTTTTCTCCACCGCGTAGGAGCTTCATGCTGCAGTCTATTTTTATAGATATTTTGTTTGATTGCCTTTTCAAGATTTTTATATGCAAATCTTTCCCTCAGTTGCTTTCAAACTGTATGACAGAGATGGCAATGGAGTCCTTGACAGCTCTGTAAGTCAACTTGTAATATTTTTTTATGATCTACACAGAATTAACTACACCCCCCTGGGTATTGTCCCACTTTCCCCATTACCCATTTCAATGTAATAACAATGTAATAACATGTATTGACTGGCTGTTGTTGCAGGAGATATCACCTTATACCCATTAATTTTCACAATGTATATCAGGTCTTCTCGTAACAATAACTGATACTCTTCTTCCTACAGGAGGTGGACCGGATCATTGCTCAGATGATGCACGCTGCAGATTACCTGGGCTGGGATGTGTCTGAGCTGAGACCAGTAAGTGTGGCCAAATGTGGGATGTCCCTTACAATAACTGATTATCAGAGGAGAAAATACCTATTTTAATGAAGCCCTGTGCCAATATCTGCTGAACAAACACCCCTTCAAGAATACTCATTTAGATGCTAAGCTAGAATGCACTTTGGTTTGTTCAGGTGCTGAAGGACATGATGACGGCCATCGACGCAGACAGCAGTGACACAGTCTCTCTGGATGAATGGGTGGAGGGAGGAATGAACAACGTCCCTCTGCTGGTATTACTGGGGCTGAAGGTGGGTGAACCATGTTCCCCTGCTGGGCTGTGTTCATTAGGGACAAAATGGTAGAAAACTAACTGAAACAGGGAGGGACTACTTGGATTAACAATAAGAAATGCTTGTTTCTGTTGTAAAAATGTTTTACTACGTTTTGCTACGGTTTGCCTTAATGAATAAGACCATAATGCCACTGGGGCTGAAGGTGGAAAAGGGACCATCCATCATTCCTTCCCCTTTTATTGCGTCAGCAAAGGTTTCCTGTGCAGGCTGGAGGAGTACACATGATGCATCCTCTTTGTGTTATACACGGAGTGTACAAAACATTAAGGACACCTGCTCTTTCTATGATATAAACTGACCAGGTGAATCCAGATGAAAGCTGTGAGCCCTTATTGATGTCACTTAAATCCGTTAAATCCACTTCAATCAGTGTAGATGAAGGGGAGGAGACGGGTTAAAGAAGGATTTTTAAGCCTTGAGACAATTGAGACATGGATTGTGTATGTGTACCATTCAGAGGGTGAATGGGCAAGACAAAAATATTGAAGTGTCTTTGAACGGGGTATGGTAGTAGGTGCCAGGTACACCGGTTTGTGTCAAGAACTGCAACTCTGCTGGGTTTTTCACGCTCAACAGTTTCCTGTGTGTATCAAGATTGGTCCACCACCCCAAGGACATCCAGCCAACTTGGCACAACTGTGGGAAGCATTGGAGTCAACATGGGCCAGCATCCCTGTGGAATGCTTTCGATACCTTGTAGACTCCATGACCCAAAGATATTGAGGCTGTTCTGAGGGCAAAGGGGGGGGGGGGGGGTTCTTAATGTTTTGTTCACTCAGTGTATTTCCCAATGCATTTTTGTATTGGACAATGTACTACTGTATTTGTACCTTTTTAGAAATATGCTCAGCCGGTCTCTGCAGTCCCTCCTTTCGTCTTTCTTCCTCACTCACACACATACAGTGCACTCTCTCACTCTTTCTCTCTCTCACTCTTTCTGTCACTCTCACTCTTTCTGTCACTCTCACTCTTTCTGTCTCTCTCTCTCTCTCTCTCTCTCTCTCTCTCTCTCTCTCTCTCTCTCTCTCTCTGTGTGTCTGTCGCTCTTACCTCTATGCACCACCCTTCTGCTGACTCAGTGCTGCAGGTGTGCTAATGTCACCTCGTTCACATAGACATCTATCTCTTCACCAACAGTGAGTTGGAGTGGAAATGGCCTATCTGTTATTCTCATCCACAGCTCCATCTAACCTCACCCTCTGCATCAATTAGTAGCAACTGCAATGGAAAGGAAGGATATGAACATAGATTGTTACAGTATAAAGAGAAAGTGGTTATGTTTAAAACAACGAAACTAAGTGGGGTGCCACTTACATTTGAGTCATTTAGCAGACACTCTTATCCAGAGCGACGTACAATAGTGAGTGGATCCATTTTCATTTGTACTGGTCCCCTGTGGGAATCGAACTCACAATTCTGGCATTGCAAGTGCCATGCTCTACCAACTGAGCCACACAGGACCACTGGCACTCTTGTCTCCCAAGTGCTGATATCTGGAAATACTAGCGTCTGAGAAAATGTCTTGGTATAGGGGGTAGGCTTACTTATTGATAATGTAGTTTACTTTTGGGTCTGTTATCTGACCGCCTGGCAAAGTGGACTGTTTGGCTAGCTGACTGTGAAGATCTGAACTGTAAACTGGTCTTTCTCCTGCGCCTAAAACAATCCCAGGGACTTCCCCTCATGCTATTTCAGGCCACCAATGAGAGTGCCATGGAGGCCTGCATCCAGCACTCTCACTCACACATTGTTGTGTGCTGATTTTAGGGGCTATGCTTTAAACCAATGTTTGTAAAAGCATTTTTTTACTGTCTATTTGTGTCTATAATCTAGATAAGAGCATATCAAATATGTGACCTTGTTACTGTATATAATCTTGTGCAGCAAACATTGGTGTTAGGATTGGTGTTGGTGATGTAGTATTGCATCGAAAGGGCTTATATTTACCGAAGGAGATTCCATGGAAAAATCGTAGAAATGTACATTCCATTCCTCATTGAATTATACAGCATAGTTTCCTTTCTGCAGAATTCTGATATTTTGATAGATGGCATCATGGCATGCAAAGGCAATTCAAAAGACAACTGTCAACTCAGAGGCGATTTATGTTTTCTGCTAACTGCATCACTAATAGCAGATGACGCCCCAATCTCCAACCATGAGACAATATTAGAATGAAATGTGTATCAATGTTGCATTGCTTACATAGTGTTTTCCAAATATGAGATCAGATTAGGCTGAGAAGACATTTACCCTAAGATTCAGTGTTTGTTTTAGGAGTGTGCAAAAATTGTCAAACTAGTTTTTAACATAAAATATTTTAAAAAGCACATACAACCTTTTTATATGTTGTTTATTATAACATAAGATGTATTTTCTCCCCCACCATCCACCCCCAGATGACTCAGAAGGATGGGCAGCACCTATGGAGGATGAAACATTTCAACAAACCTGTCTACTGCAACGTGTGTCAGAGCATGCTGCTAGGACTGAGGAAACAGGGTCTTTGCTGCACCTGTGAGTGTCATTGTCTGGTCTCACCACTAGAGGGCAATACAACTTAACTTCCTCAATCCACTCAAAGCAACAAGAAAATTGCAGGAAGACACCTATCCTGAACTTACAATTAAAAGGAAGTTAGTGGAATCTCATTCTCAGAATTGGATGATGTCAACATGTACCATTAGATAAGTCATAATGACCTATGACACCCCCATGTTGCAGTCAGAGCCATATATACGCTCCTGAGTGGCGCAGTGGTCTAAGGCACTGCATCGCAGTGCTAACTGTGCCACTAGAGATCCTGGGTCGAATCCAGGCTCTGTCGCAGCCGGCCGCGACCGGGAGACTCATGGGCGGCGCACAATTGGCCCAGCGTCGTCCAGGGTAGGGGAGGGAATGGCCGGCAGGGATGTAGCTCAGTTGATAGAGCATGGCGTTTGCAATGCCAGGGTTGTGGGGTCGATTCCCACGGGGGGCCAGTATAAAAAAAAAAAGTGTATTCACTAAACTGTAAGTCGCTCTGGATAAGAGCGTCTGCTAAATGACTAAAATGTAAATGTAAATATATAGACTCTGGTTGCAGTATATTTCCATAGAATGTCCATAGGAAAAACTGTAGTGGCGTTGTTTATTTTTTACTTAATTGTCAGCCATGTATATCTTGTCTTGATTAACATGATTGATTAAACGAGAGAATGACAATAATAGTTGAAAACACTATGGAGACGCGTAACGCCTTGTTTACTTGTCTTTGTTTTCAAGGTTGTAAATACACGGTCCATGGACGCTGTGCCAACAGAAACCCAGCTCCCTGTACCAGGACCTATGTCAAGTCTAAGAAAGACACGGGGGTTACAATTTTACAGTGGCATTTGCAGTTGTATTTCCAATGCCTCTTCATTCTTAGTGTATGTTGTAATGTGAATGTCTGAGCCATTCTCTTTGTACCTGCGTATGTTTGTCAGTCTTGCATCTGACACGGTCTCCTGCCTCAGGTTCCAACCCATGACTGGGTCAGTGGGAACTGTGACTCTGGGAAGTGTGACAAGTGTCAGAAGAAGATCAAGAGTTATCACGGGCTGACGGGCAAACACTGTGTCTGGTGCCACTCCATGGTGAGGATGGAGGGCTCCTGAGTAGCCCTGTGGTGGGGAGAGTTAGGCCCCTTTAAGTTATTAGGCCAGTCTTTTCTTCCACGCAGAATATTTACATATTACAATCTGTTAAATCTGTTCATGGAGTGGTCTTGCAAGAGCTACAGTTGAAGTCGGAAGTTTACATACACCTTAGCCAAATACATTTCAACATTTCAACATTTACATTTACAATACATTTAAGGTCAGTCTTAGGTCAGTTAGGATCACCACTTTATTTTAAGAATGTGAAATGTCAGAATAATAGTAGAGAGAATTATTTATTTCAGCTTTTATTTATTTCATCACATTCCCAGTGGGTCAGAAGTTTACATACACTCAATTAGTATTTGGTAGCATTGCCTTTAAATTGTTTAAATTGGGTCAAACGTTTCTGGTAGACTTCCACAAGCTTCCCACAATAAGTTGGGTGAATTTTGGCCCATTCATCCTGACAGAGCTGGTGTAACTGAGTCAGGTTTGTAGGCCTCTTTGCTCGCACACGCTTTTTCAGTTCTGCCCACAAATGTTCTATAGGATTGAGGTCAGGGCTTTATGATGGCCACTCCAATACCGTGACTTTGTTGTCCTTAAGCCATTTTGCCACAACTTTGGAAGTATGCTTGGGGTCATTGTCCATTTGGAAGACCCATTTGCGACCAAGCTTTAACTTCCTGACTGATGTCTTGAGATGTTACTTCAATATATCCACATCATTTTCCTTCCTCATGATGCCATCTATTTTGTGAAGTGCACTTGTCCCTCCTGCAGCAAAGCACCCCCACAGCATGATGCTGCCACCCCCATGCTTCACGGTTGGGATGGTGTTATTCGGCTTGCAAGCTACACCCTTTTCCCTCCAAACATAATGATGGTCATTACGGCCAAACAGTTCTATTTTTGTTTCATCAGACCAGAGGACATTTCTTCAAAAAGTACGATCTTTGTCCCCATGTGCAGTTGCAAACCGTAGTCTGGCATTTTTATGGCAGTTTTGGAGCAGTGGCTTTTTCCTTGCTGAGCGGCCTTTCAGGTTATGTCGATATAGGACTCGTTTTACTGTGGCTATAGATACTTTTGTACCTGTTTCCTCCAGCATCTTCACAAGGTACTTTGCTGTTGTTCTGGGATTGATTTGCACTTTTCGCACCAAAGTACGTTCATCTCTAGGAGACAGAACGCGTCTCCTTCCTGAGCGGTATGACGGCTGCGTGGTCCCATGGTGTTTATACTTGCGTACTATTGTTTGTACAGATGAATGTGGTACCTTCAGGCGTTTGGAAATTGCGCCCAAGGATGAACCGGACTTGTGGAGGTACAATTTTTTTTCTGAGGTCTTGGCTGATTTCTTTTGATTTTCACATGATGTCAGGCAAAGAGGCACTGAGTTTGAAGGTAGGCCTTGAAATACATCCACAGGTACACCTCCAATTGACTCAAATGATGTCAATTAGCCTATCAGAAGCTTCTAAAGCTATGACATCATTTTCTGGAATTTTCTAAGCTGTTTAAAGGCACAGTCAATTTAGTGTATGTAAACTTCTGACCCACTGAAATTGTGATACAGTGAATTATAAGTGAAATCATCTGTCTGTAAACTATTGTTGGAAAAAGGACTTGTGTCATGCACAAAGTAGATGTCCTAACCGACTTGCCAAAACTCTAGTTTGTTAACAAGAAATTTGTGGAGTGGTTGAAAAAAAGTTTTAAGGACTCCAACCTAAGTGTGTGTAAACGTCCGACTTCAACTGTATGTCTGGAACTACAGTTGTGAACAATACAGCACTTTGTGACTACTGTTGATGAAAAAATGCTTAATTAATAAAATGTGATTGGCTTTATAAATGAATCATATGATAATAGATATCACTGGCTGCTACTGTGTTCCAGCGCCATGATGACTGTGCCTCCCAGGAGCCCTCTGACTGTAACTGCGGAACTCTCAGAGACCATATCCTCCCCCCCTGGGCCATCTACCCTGTTATGAAGGTACAGGATCACCTACAGGTGTCCAATACTGTAAATCTCACATATTTTAAGGAACCTCAACTGTGTGAAATTACTTTTTTTATTATCTTAAAAACAACATTCACTCACATGCAATGGTAATAGTAGGATATTTCAAATGCCCAGTTTGAGAAACAATACATCTGTATTTGACTATCATACGGTTATTGCTTGTTTTATTTTATCTCTGGATTTGCTAACTTGACTGTCCATCTCTCTGTTGACCCCATCAGGAGAAGCAAAACAGCATGAAGAACGGCTCCTCGAGCTCAGCCGACAACAGTGACCACAACACCACTCCTGACGGAAAGGTGCTTCAGGTACGTACTAGTACCCTGACTAGGCCTTTCCCTAATACAGGACCACTGGATAGTACTTGGTGTGAGTAAATAAGCAGCAGTGTCTAACTATTTTACCTTCTGTAGAGTCTAGAGAACTGTCACTAGGAAGTGCCTCACAGCCATATTCCATTCAGACTATATGTCATCTGAATATACTGACAATATAGACATCATTGTCTCCATTTGTGAAACTGCTGTAACCTTTGAACTATTTATCTCTGAACAGATTAATCCGGTCCCAGACACTCATCCTCTTTTAGTGTTTGTGAACCCTAAAAGTGGAGGGAAGCAGGGAGAAAGGTAAGGCTACAAGTGAGCACTCCTACACAAATGGGCATTTATGGTTGAATATAAAACCATGTCAATCTTCCTATTTTACAATTTCAAGTCCTATTTTATTTATTTCAGAGTTCTGCGTAAATTTCAGTATTTGCTGAATCCACGGCAGGTGTATAACCTCTCCAATGGTGGACCAGGAGCAGGGTAAGTTTCCCATATGGATAACTGCATATGATCTATCTAAGTATAGACTGCTATCAGAATCAAATGAAAAACTACACTGTTCTAACTGCATTACTAATTGGACAACTCGGGTGTATTTAGCAGCTTTAAATCTCGAAAATTACATTTAAGACATTTTACATTTTGAGGAGTCTGAGATTGTAATTGTGTATGTATCTGGGCCTTAATATAATTTCATTACCAGTTCTCTTATTTGCTGCTTGAATATGCAACTGTATTGGGATAGTTGTAACATCAAAGCCAATAAAAGGGTTGCAAAGGGAGGGTATATTACTGGAAACGTTCAAAGTTTACCAATAAACTACCAGAAAACGTTCACGTTTTTAGGGGAATTTTATTAGATGACATCTAGTGGCCTTTTCTGGTACTTCAGATTATCACAGTAATCTGTAATTATCTCTGGCCGTCTGTGGCCTTATCACATGTAAAATATATAAAATAATCAAATAAGATTTTAAAATAGAATGACAAAGCTGTAAAACATTATCCTAAATATAAACCATCCGCTAAGTTAATACCATTGGTGGGTTTCAGCATGAAATATCAGTTTAAAAAAATGTGACAAACCTTTTTTAATTTTTCTATGTTAATGTCTTTGTTGTTTATGTTTCGCCACCAAACTGGTGTCCGTTTGTGAAAAAAGTAAATAGTTGTAGGAGTTACTACAGTATTTCACGTTAAAGTTTCACGAATAAGTCTGGTCAAATTAGGCTCAGTTGCAGGCCATCAACTACAGTGGGGGGGGGGAAAAGTATTTAGTCAGCCACCAATTGTGCAAGTTCTCCCACTTAAAAAGATGAGAGAGGCCTGTAATTTTCATCATAGGTACACGTCAACTATGACAGACAAATTGAGAGAAAAAAAATCCAGAAAATCACATTGTAGGATTTTTTATGAATTTATTTGCAAATTATGGTGGAAAATAAGTATTTGGTCACCTACAAACAAGCAAGATTTCTGGCTCTCACAGACCTGTAACTTCTTCTTTAAGAGGCTCCTCTGTCCTCCACTCGTTACCTGTATTAATGGCACCTGTTTGAACTTGTTATCAGTATAAAAGACACCTGTCCACAACCTCAAACAGTCACACTCCAAACTCCACTATGGCCAAGACCAAAGAGCTGACAAAGGACACCAGAAACAAAATTGTAGACCTGCACCAGGCTGGGAAGACTGAATCTGCAATAGGTAAGCAGCTTGGTTTGAAGAAATCAACTGTGGGAGCAATTATTAGGAAATGGAAGACATACAAGACCACTGATAATCTCCCTCGATCTGGGGCTCCACGCAAGATTTCACCCCGTGGGGTCAAAATGATCACAAGAACGGTGAGCAAAAATCCCAGAACCACACGGGGGGACCTAGTGAATGACCTGCAGAGAGCTGGGACCAAAGTAACAAAGCCTACCATCAGTAACACACTACGCCGCCAGGGACTCAAATCCTGCAGTGCCAGACGTGTCCCCCTGCTTAAGCCAGTACATGTCCAGGCCCGTCTGAAGTTTGCTAGAGTGCATTTGGATGATCCAGAAGAGGATTGGGAGAATGTCATATGGTCAGATGAAACCAAAATAGAACTTTTTGGTAAAAACTCAACTCGTCGTGTTTGGAGGACAAAGAATGCTGAGTTGCATCCAAAGAACACCATACCTACTGTGAAGCATGGGGGTGGAAACATCATGCTTTGGGGCTGTTTTTCTGCAAAGGGACCAGGACAACTGATCCGTGTAAAGGAAAGAATGAATGGGGCCATGTATCATGAGATTTAGAGTGAAAACCTCCTTCCATCAGCAAGGGCATTGAAAACATCACTGCTCTAGAGGAGATCTGCATGGAGGAATGGGCCAAAATACCAGCAACAGTGTGTGAAAGCCTTGTGAAGACTTACAGAAAACGTTTGACCTGTGTCATTGCCAACAAAGGGTATATAACAAAGTATTGAGAAACTTTAGTTATTGACCAAATACTTATTTTCCACCATAATTTGCAAATAAATTCATAAAAAATCCTACAATGTGATTTTCTGGATTTTATTTTCTCATTTTGTCTGTCATAGTTGACGTGTACCTAAGATGAAAATTACAGGCCTCTCTCATCTTTTTAAGTGGGAGAACTTGCACAATTGGTGGCTGACTAAATACTTTTTCCCCCACTGTATGCAAGGCAATGCAGGTCTGTGTTCAAAAGAAAGTAGACAAACACAGACGGAAAAAGAATTTCAGCGAAAGGGAAAGTGTTGAGCAGGTAGGTCATGCACCACGAAAATATATTGCGCATAGTAAATTCACGGAGTGGTGAAAGTAAGGCAGCAAATTTTGGACAACATTACACAGAAAATCAATGCAGTGGGTGGCGCGAGACGAACAGTAAGAGACCATGGCTGCGGGAAGATGTTTTTGGGATGGGGGTGCTATCGCCGAGTAATAAAGGCGTAGTTCAAATTATTTTTTTCAATATTATATATTTATTTTATTTCAATTTATCAGTGGGTGCTGCAGCACCCTCAGCACCCCTACTTCCCGCTGCTACAGTGAGGGAAAAAAGTATTTGATCCCCTGCTGATTTTGTATGTTTGCCCACTGACAAAGACATGATCAGTCTATACTTTTAATGGTAGGTTTATTTGAACAGTGAGAGACAGAATAACAACAAAAAAATCCAGAAAAACGCATGTCAAAAATGTTATAAATTGATTTGCATTTTAATGAGGGAAATAAGTATTTGACCCCTCTGCAAAACATGACTTAGTACTTGGTGGCAAAACCCTTGTTGGCAATCACAGAGGTCAGACGTTTCTTGTAGTTGGCCACCAGGTTTGCACACATCTCAGGAGGGATTTTGTCCCACTCCTCTTTGCAGATCTTCTCCAAGTCATTAAGGTTTCGAGCCTGACGTTTGGCAACTCGAATCTTCAGCTCCCTCCACAGATCTTCTATGGGATTAAGGTCTGGAGACTGGCTAAGCCACTCCAGGATCTTTTAATGTGCTTCTTCTTGAGCCACTCCTTTGTTGCCTTGGCCGTGTGTTTTGGGTCATGCTGGAATACCCATCCACAACCCATTTTCAATGCCCTGGCTGAGGGAAGGAGGTTCTCACCCAAGATTTGACAGTACATGGCCCCGTCCATCATCCCTTTGATGCAGTGAAGTTGTCCTGTCCCCTTAGCAGAAAAACACCCCCAAAGCATAATGTTTCCACCTCCATGTTTGACGGTGGGGATGGTGTTCTTGGGGTCATAGGCAGCATTCCTCCTCCCCCAAACACGGCGAGTTGAGTTGATGCCAAAGAGCTCGATTTTGGTCTCATCTGACCACAACACTTTCACCCAGTTCTCCTCTGAATCATTCAGATGTTCATTGGCAAACTTCAGACGAGCCTGTATATGTGCTTTCTTGAGCAGGGGGACCTTGCGGGTGCTGCAGCATTTCAGTCCTTCACCGCGTAGTGTGTTACCAATTGTTTTCTTGGTGACTATGGTCCCAGATGCCATGAGATCATTGACAAGATCCTCCCGTGTAGTTCTGGGCTGATTCCTCACAGTTCTCATGATCATTGCAACTCCACGAGGTGAGATGTTGCATGGAGCCCCAAGCCAAGGGAGATTGACAGTTATTTTGTGTTTCTTCCATTTGCTAATAATCTCACCAACTGTTGTCACCTTCTCACCAAGCTGCTTGGCGATGGTCTTGTAGCCCATTCCAGCCTTGTGTAGGTCTACAATCTTGTCCCTGACATCCTTGGAGAGCTCTTTGGTCTTGGCCATGGTGGAGAGTTTGGAATCTGATTGATTGATTGCTTCTGTGGACAGGTGTCCTTTATACATGTAACAAATTGAGATTAGGAGCACTCCCTTTAAGAGTGTGCTCCTAATCTCAGCTCGTTACCTGTATAAAAGACATCTGTGAGCCAGAAATATTTCTGATTGAGATGGGGTTAAATACTTATTTCCCTCATTAAAATGAAAATCAATTTATAACATTTTTGACATGCGTTTTTCTGGATTTTGTTGTTGTTATTCTGTCTCACTGTTCAAATAAACCTACCATTAAAATTATAGACTGATCATTTCTTTGTCAGTGGGCAAACGTACAAAATCAGCAGGGGATCAAATACTTTTTTCCCTCACTGTAAACCTGTCTTTCCCAGTACAATGCCATTTCCTTTTGCAATACATCCTTCCATTTTACTGTGATGTCTTACGAGGGTCCTAAACCTCCCTATTTGTAACATTTCTACCAATATTGCCCTAAAAATAAATATTTTACCCAAGAGTTAACGATATTTCCCATTGATTGATCGTGGTTTTTCAGATCCCCTCTTCACTAATCTTTTTATGTTTAACTTTTTTGTTATAAACTTGTTGTCATCACAATCATGATGTTAATCATAGTTTCTCTCCATGTTTTGAAGACTTTGTTGAGCATTTTTATATTTGATTTATTTTCATATCTTTTGGTTTAAAAGTGATGTTTAGAAATCACACAAATACAACGCCTGTTATTTTTTTACATTGTTGATTGACCACTTTGTACACTCTTACAGATACAGTGGGGGAAAAAAGTATTTAGTCAGCCACCAATTGTGCAAGTTCTCCCACTTAAAAAGATGAGAGAGGCCTGTAATTTTCATCATAGGTACACGTCAACTATGACAGACAAAATGAGGAAAAAAAATCCAGAAAATCACATTGTAGGATTTTTAATGAATTTATTAGCAAATTATGGTGGAAAATAAGTATTTGGTCAATAACAAAAATTTCTCAATACTTTGTTATATACCCTTTGTTGGCAATGACACAGGTCAAACGTTTTCTGTAAGTCTTCACAAGGTTTTCACACACTGTTGCTGGTATTTTGGCCCATTCCTCCATGCAGATCTCCTCTAGAGCAGTGATGTTTTGGGGCTGTCGCTGGGCAACACGGACTTTCAACTCCCTCCAAAGATTTTCTATGGGGTTGAGATCTGGAGACTGGCTAGGCCACTCCAGGACCTTGAAATGCTTCTTACGAAGCCACTCCTTCGTTGCCCGGGCGGTGTGTTTGGGATCATTGTCATGCTGAAAGACCCAGCCACGTTTCATCTTCAATGCCCTTGCTGATGGAAGGAGGTTTTCACTCAAAATCTCACAATACATGGCCCCATTCATTCTTTCCTTTACACGGATCAGTCGTCCTGGTCCCTTTGCAGAAAAACACCCCCAAAGCATGATGTTTCCACCCCCATGCTTCACAGTAGGTATGGTTTTCTTTGGATGCAACTCAGCATTCTTTGTCCTCCAAACACGACGAGTTGAGTTTTTACCAAAAAGTTCTATTTTGGTTTCATCTGACCATATGACATTCTCCCAATCCTCTTCTGGATCATCCAAATGCACTCTAGCAAACTTCAGACGGGCCTGGACATGTACTGGCTTAAGCAGGGGGACACGTCTGGCACTGCAGGATTTGAGTCCCTGGCGGCGTAGTGTGTTACTGATGGTAGGCTTTGTTACTTAGGTCCCAGCTCTCTGCAGGTCATTCACTAGGTCCCCCCGTGTGGTTCTGGGATTTTTGCTCACCGTTCTTGTGATCATTTTGACCCCACGGGGTGAGATCTTGCGTGGAGCCCCAGATCGAGGGAGATTATCAGTGGTCTTGTATGTCTTCCATTTCCTAATAATTGCTCCCACAGTTGATTTCTTCAAACCAAGCTGCTTACCTATTGCAGATTCAGTCTTCCCAGCCTGGTGCAGGTCTACAATTTTGTTTCTGGTGTCCTTTGACAGCTCTTTGGTCTTGGCCATAGTGGAGTTTGGAGTGTGACTGTTTGAGGTTGTGGACAGGTGTCTTTTATACTGATAACAAGTTCAAACAGGTGCCATTAATACAGGTAACGAGTGGAGGACAGAGGAGCCTCTTAAAGAAGAAGTTACAGGTCTGTGAGAGCCAGAAATCTTGCTTGTTTGTAGGTGACCAAATACTTATTTTCCACCATAATTTGCAAATAAATTCATAAAAAAATCCTACAATGTGATTTTCTGGAAAAAAAAATCTCAATTTGTCTGTCATAGTTGACGTGTACCTATGATGAACATTACAGGCCTCTCTCATCTTTTTAAGTGGGAGAACTTGCACAATTGGTGGCTGACTAAATACTTTTTTCCCCACTGTACTTGAAGTAAACTTGAACGGCTTATTTCTCTCTGTGATGCCATAACCATCAGTGAACGTCACTGTTAGATCTTGTCCTGGACCCCCAACATAATACAAAATCTGTGTTTCAGGCTGTGCTTCTTCAGAAATCTGAAGGATTACAGGATCTTGGTTTGCGGAGGGGACGGCACTGTGGGCTGGATACTTGATGCCATAGGTGGGGTCCAGTACACAATATTGGTAGACCATGTACTATACACTCAGTGGCCAGTTTTATTAGGTACACCACCCCGTTCACGAAAATGGTTTGCTCCTACAGACAGTGGCTGTGGCTTGCTATATAAAGCAGGCAGACAGACATCGAGGCATTCAGTTACTGTTCGATTGAACATTAGAATGGACAAAACGAGTGACCTAAGTGACTTTGAATGTGGTATGATTGTCGGTTCCAGTATCTCAGAAACGGCCGGCTTCCTGGCCTTTTCACGCACAACAGTGTCTAGAGTTTGCAGAGAATGGTGCGATGAACAAAAAACATCCAGTCAGCGGCAGTCCTGTGGAAGAAAACACTTCGTTGATGAGAGGTCAAAGGAGAATGGTAAGAATCGTGCAAGCTAACAGGCGGGCCACAACGGCATCTCGGAACGCACAACTCATCGGTCCTTGTCACGGATGGGCTATTGCAGCAGACGACCACACCGGGTTCCAATCCTGTCCGCTAAAAACAAGAAGAAGCGGCTCCGGTGGGTACGCCATCACCAACACTGGACAATTGAGGAGTGGAAAAACATTGCCTGGTCCGACGAATCCCGGTTCCTGTTTCGTCATGCTGATGGCAGAGTCAGGTTTTGGCGTAAGCAGCATGAGTCCATGGCCCCATCCTGCCTGGTGTCAACGATACAGGCTGGTGGCTGTAGTGTAATGGTGTGGGGAATGTTTTCATGCCCCGAAGAATTCAGGCTGTTCTGGAGGCAAAGGGGGGTCTGACCCGGTACTAGATGGGTGTACCTAATAAATGAGTGTACATGCCAATAGACAAGTCAACTTTAGTGTATGAGTAAAAACTATGAATTCCCTTACCAAACACCCAAACATGTTACAGAAGTGGAATTCCATGTAGTAACCTAGACATGAGTAATGCTGACAATCTCTCTTTCTCCCCTTCTGGTGTAATCAGAAAAAGCCAATCTTCAAGTGCGGCCACCTGTGGCTGTGTTACCCCTGGGCACAGGAAATGACCTTGCACGTTGTCTTAGATGGGGAGGAGGTGAGCAGGGTTGTCTTTTTTCATTTTCGTTCCCGGATCATATTTCCTGTATCTTCTGTGCATAATTCTACTGTGTGTATTGAATGAATCACTGTCTCTGGGTGTTCGTCTTGGTTTCTTCTTTTATGTTTGTGTGCTTGTGTGTGGGACCGTTGGTAGCACAGAATTATCATTGTATCGCTATGGTCTGTAGGGGAGAGTGGGGTAAGTTGAGCCAAAGGGGTAAGTTGAGCCACCCTTGTACAAAATGTATAATTTAACAAAATATTTAGGAAGAGGTCATCATTGTGATGGAAGAAACCACATGGAAAAAGTGGTAAGCAAGTTAGGTAAAAAAAATATGATTTGTATTTATTGTTAGAGGTTTCATGATGCTTGTATCTAAACCAAAGTAGATAATTGTAAGATTGTTCTATACATCAGTTGGGGTCTCTATAAGCTTCAATAGCAGGTCCTAAACCTAGCATGAGAGTGCATACATGTAGCTGTGTGGGCTAATATAGTCAAAATGTTTGCCTTGGGGTAAGTTGAGCCAATGGCAAGTTGAGTAAATTGAAGTGTTTTCTTCCCAGGCGTAATGCAAGGCATTATCACTGTGATATGCGGTAACAACAGGGCCTGGCCTATGTCATAAGTGTTTTTAAAAAGTACAAAGTGTTTGTTAGGCATGTTTGTTAGGTCTGTGTTAAAAGGCAAAAAAGCAATTGTGATTGTGTTGAATTGTGTTTGGGAAATAAAGATAGAAATGGTTTTAAAAAGGTAGTGGTAATATTTCATTCAGTACAGAAATTTGTAGGCGGCTTAACTTACTGTCCTGCGGCTTAACTTATCCCAAACCTGGGGTAAGTTGTGCAAAGAGACCACTTTGTTTGGACAAGTATGTTTTCAAAACTGTCATGTTTATATGAATTCTAATTATTTCCAGAACATCCTGAAATATATGTAGATATCTTTGTTAGAAAGAATACTATATTTCCCTTGACGGAGTGATGCTGAATGTAAAGAATGGGGTAAGTTGAGCCACTCTCCCCTATAGGTTATGATGGAACGGATCTGTGTCGGATCCTGAAGGAGATCGAGGGCAGCACCCCAGTGCTGATGGACCGCTGGAATGTAGAGGTGATCCTAGAGGACCCCGAGGAGATGGGAGACCCTGTGCCTTATGAGATCATCAACAACTACTTCTCCATCGGAGTGGTGAGTGAGTGGAGAGGAGTTAGGACTTAAATTCTAGCATTGTCCCAGATCTGTTTGTGCTGTCTTGCCAACTCCTATGGTCATTGTCACGCCAACAAAAACTGATGTTACTTATTTATGGCACACACCAGAATGCTTTGTCAACTTTTTAGAACTTGCTCTGTATTGACAGGATGCCTCTATTGCCCACCGGTTTCATACGCTGAGAGAGAAACACCCCCAGAAATTCAACAGCAGGTAAGCAAACTTGAATTACCAGGCTGGAGTTTGGTTATCCAGAGGGAACTAGCCTTTTAGGGGTAGTAACTTTGTGCATGGTGTAAACGACCCTACGTTATTGCAAGACTGTTGTTCAATATTCCAGAATGAAGAACAAGTTGTGGTACTTTGAGTTTGCCACCTCTGAGACCATCTCTGCTTCATGCAAGAAACTGAATGAATGTCTTACAATTGAGGTGAGGATCGCAAACACACAGCTTTGCATCAGCACATAGAAACATATAGTAACTTTACAGAAACACGTATACCCAACCAGTGTTGCGGGTAAAAGTAACGCATTACAGTAATATTACTTTTATGAGTAACGGAGTAACATAACAAGTTGCCGTCTTCAACATTGTTTTATATTATTACAGTTACTTTTTCCATTAATTTCAGAATCTCTCAGCGTGTTGTATATGTTTTAAGTTTTGTTTCCTGGAATTCATGCTGTAGCTAGGCTAACTCGTTTCCTAGGCTATCGTGAAGCCGAAAATCAAAGAAAGATGGCAGCTGTGTTGTTATCCCGCTTAACCTTTTCCTCGTGGAAATACTCCCTTTTTTTTGTGTTAATCGAGGAGAAAGAGATCAACATTTTAGTCAAACGCAAACTCAGCAAGTATTGATATCTTTGTTTGGAAACACCACATCAAACCTGAAATAGCATCTGGAGATTGTGCACAAAGCTGGTAGCCAAAGTTCCAGAAATGCGTGAAAGAGGAGAAATCTATAGGCCTACACATTATGATAATAAACGAAGATCCATAGGCCTAAATAATATTTCCAAGTGTTCTTACGAAATGTCCATATAAACAATCAAAAATGTCTGATAAATACAATTCAAAATGGCAAAAAGTGTCATCACACAACTAAATTATATCTTGATAGGGTAACATGGTGTAACTACCCAGCCCTAAGAACAATGTCCAATTGCAGACACAAAAAAGCAACGTTTGGTAGAAATGTGGTATTTTAATGATGGTTATGCTTAGGGAAATAAGTGGCTACAGTTTAAAGTTGCCCTATTGGAGGGGGGGCCAGTTGCCTCCAACACACTTACCTTAAATTTGTACTGCTTTATTAAAAACTGATTACAATTTGTATCTCTAAACAAATTGATTATTGTAGGCTCCCCTAATGGTGTAATATATATATATATATATATATATATATATATAAACTTTTTATAGATCTAATTTAATTAGATGTGTATATATTTATACCATGGTTGAATACTAGTTTCTGATTGGCTTGAAAGGCATTCTCGAGCATGCATTATTTCCCTATAACACACAGTATATCAGCATTAGAATTCAGTGGCTATAGTTCATTCTTACATGTTCTATGTTTGAACTGCTTTTGAAAGCAAAAGTTGAATTCAATTTTCATAATAGCAAACTAAGACTTATGGTTCGGTTAGCTAAACTAGCAAGTCTGTTTGTTTGGTTACCAAGGCAACTACTGTAACTATCTAGTAAACTTGATAGCTACTTCAGTGGATGTTGAACACATTTCTACCTGCAAATGAACACATTTCTAGCGGCAAATGAGTTAAATTATAGCCATGGTATAAAAGGGATAATCAACTCGGGGCTCTATGCGTTCTCTGGAAAATAATGGCACTCCGTGGAAGGTGAGTTCCACTCCGCTAGCACGTCGAGGAACAAACCTTCCACGTCATTCATTAACTTTGTGTAAATGACGAAATATTAGATCAACTTACCTCAGAATCGGTTGGTTAGTGACTTAAAAAATTTAGATGTGGTGGCGGCCAGGGAAAGTGTAGTTACCCCGGGGGGTATGTTACCCCACGTTACCCTACGCATCAAAGGAATGGGCATAGGTCTATTGTCGATAAACATTTAGGCAGCTTTACAAAATGAAATATACATATTAAAGCCACTAAATACAGGCTATGAAGTTACAACAAGGACGACTTTAAATCCCGACATCAAAATTAAAATAACCGGTGTATTAAACTGCTGATCGTGAATGCAAACTGTCATTTAAATCCTCCACAAAATGCATTCTAATAAAGTCAAGCCCCACTCTGTCCTTGAATTTTCCTAAATAAGTCTATTTAACACACTGACGTTGTTAGAATTTCGATATAACAGTGTGTTCTAAGCAGTTTTAGCAGGATAATAGTAGATATAGTGTAGCTCCATGGTGTTGAATGGACAGCATAACAAATATTATAATGAGTAATATGTAATATATTACTTTTCAAGCAACGAATCCCAACACACACCTCAACACAGTCAGCAAGCAAGCACATATTATTTTATTACATGGGGATTGTGGTTAACATAGGTGACCTGATAGTTCTGTGGTATGTTTATCTCATTATGGCATCTCATTAAGTTGCACTGTCTGCCTGATGTTGTACGTCCCTCAGTGCTGCGGCACCCCATTGGACCTGAGTGGCCTTTCTATGGAGGGGATCGCTGTCCTCAACATTCCCAGCATGCACGGTGGATCCAACCTGTGGGGAGAAGCCAAGAAGAGTGAATGCAAGTGCTTGATGAATCCTCAGGAAATGCCTGAGGTTATTGTCGACCCTGAAGTCCTGAAAGTCAGCGGACAAGGTACAGTGAAATCTCTTGGCTTGATCCAAGGGCTCAAGATTTCAAAATGTTAAAGGGTGTGCCCATGTCTGGTATAGAATATTGTTAGAATATCATGTCAGTTGTTTTAGAGTATCCATTGCAAGAGGTCTGTTCTCATGTCACAGCTGTTAAAAGAGAAACGTTGTTATCTTTATTGGAAGAGGCCCTTAACCCTGGATGTGTTGTGAAGTAGGTTTGAATCTTAACAGCTAGTCTGACTGAAAACTGTACTACCTCTGTGTCAATTGCATGTTCAGTGTTTCCATCTTCCATGACAGACCTCAGTGACCGGCGTTTGGAAGTGGTTGGCCTAGAAGGGGCCATGGAGATGGGGCAGATATATACGGGATTTAAGAGTGCTATAAGACTAGCAAAAACCTCACAGATTACAATCAGGTGAGTGTTTGTGACATGTTGAGACGTGTACAGACTAGCTGAGATATCACATGTACAGTATGATGTGGGATGATGATTTTTACACCTTGCAACTTAAAAAAAAAACAAACATCCCCACTACTAATGCTGCGTTCATAACCAAGTGGGAAGGTGGTAATTACCCGTTGTAAAGTCTTAAATACAAGTTGGATGTATTCACGTTCTGAACTGGGAAACTTCCATAAAACATGGAGGTCATGAGAAGGCTTGTGATTATTTTGCTATTTTTTGCCCATAAAAAGTATATCCAAAGCTGCTTACACTTTTTAACCTCTACGGGATCAGTGTCCCGTATACGGAACAGTTGAGCTAGCGTGCGCTAATGTGATTAGCATGACTGTTGTAAGTAACAGCAAACTTTCCAGGACATAGACATGTCTTATTTGGGCAGAAAGCTTAAATTATTGTTAATCTAACTGCACTGTCCAATTTACAGTAGCTATTACAGTGAAAAAAAGACCATGCTGTTGTTTGAGGAGAGTGCACAACAATAAAAAACGTATCACGCCAACTGGTTTGGTTTGATACATTCACCTCTGAAGGTAAATAATGTACTTACATTCAGTAATCATGCTCTGATTTGTCATCATAAGGGTCTCAGAGATACATTTAATTATTAAAATGTAGGAACTGGGTTCTACAGTTTGAACCCCTGCAGTCTCTGGCTCCACACCCACCCCGCACAGCCATCTAGATGTGTGAAAGTTAGTGTATAAGCTAATGATCCATCATGTATGACATTCCTGGGAGTGTGTAAACGTACATTTTGTATGTTCTCTATAGTTATGTACTTAAATGTATCAATTGACCAATTCGGCACATTTGGGCAGACTTGATACAAAATAGTCCAGTATTGCAATGCTTCACTGGATCAATCTGAAACTTTGCACACACAGTGGTGCTAACTAGTGGCCAAAATCTAAATTGTGCTTAAACTGCAATATTATATTGTGGCCTTTCTCTTGCATTTCAAAGATGATGGAACAAAAAAATAAATAGAAAACCATGTTTTTTTGTTTGTATTATCTTTTACCAGATCTAATGTGTTATATTCTCCTACATTAATTTCACATTTCCACAAACTTCAAAGTGTTTCCTTTCAAATGGTATCAAGAATATGCATATCCTTGCTTCAGGTCCTGAACTACAGGCTTGGTTATGTCATTTTAGGTGAATTTTTTTTTTAAAGGGTCCGGTCTTTAAGAGGTTAAATCAGAAGGACGATAAAACAGAATCAATTTTATATCAATAATTTGTACAACTGCTGAAGATCCCCTCCATGCTTGCTGTCTTTTTTTGTTGACAAATTACATCAGAGAGGTGCAAGTGGCAAACACGGCGCATGGGGATGATCGACGAGTTTCCCACTATTAATTACCAGTTGGAGGGGCGTTCAAGTGTATTTTTCACAGTCGTATGCTGGTATTTACAAAATTCAGAGATGTTGTGAACACAGAATTATCTCCCTTATGTCTCTGTCCATCTTTAAGGACTAAGAAACCTTTACCGATGCAGATAGACGGAGAGCCCTGGATGCAGCCACCCTGTACGGTGAGTGCTAGGAACCCAGATTGAGTTCAGTGTAACAGAGCGTTTGAAGAGTTTGAAAGCAAATTCTATTGCTAGAGACCATGGGGTTTGATGCTAATAACATTTTGTTAATATAACATGGTAACATGTTGGTAACATGGTAATAACATGGTCATTTGAGTAACACCTTTCACTCATATTCCCCCTTCAGATTCACATCACACACAAGAACCAGGCCAATATGCTGATGGCTCCCCAGGGCCGGTCCAGCTTCTTCAGCTCAAAGTAGTAGCCTGCTCCCTGGCTACACGCAGTAACATGACCTGTATGCACTTGCTTATTATTTTACATTTGTGAAATGACTGAAGCAACTTGGTTTGTGAAACCAGTTGGTATGTGCATATTTTAGAGAAATAGGTTGACCAACATTTTCAGAAAGTTCAACACATATTATTTTGTTCGTTCTGCCTCAATACAAGATGGTATTATGAAAACATTGCAAACTACAGCTGTATGATATCCTTATATATGACTCTGGACAAGAAGTTAAGAGCTTTTAGTGGGTTTTATGTGCCTTTGCCATCATTTTTGCCAAATTCATCTTATGTGTTATCAAGGAGACAAAGACTGCTAGGTTGCACAGTCTAAGATATTGGTATCCGCTTCAAAAGTTTGAGTGAAATGTTTATTCAACAAGATTATTTGAACTGCATTTTCCTTAATTGTTATTACATTTTAGTAGGATAATTTAAATGTATATATAATTTGGTCATTGAAAGTCTAGAACTTTCTAGGATTTATTAAATATTTAGAAGCTCAGTGCATAATGCTTGTGCTAATATACCCACATAAGTGCAGATTTATATGAAATTATTATGCACTATTTAGTGCTTGTGTATGTTAGCAGGAAACCCTTTGCTCCTTTGTCCTGTGGTCAAATGTAATTTAATTGTTTTAATAGCAGAACTAAAATGGCCTTTTAAAAAGCCTGTAGTTTTAATATATTGAGTGACAGTTTGGAGTCAAAAATGAATTGTTTACTTCTGCCTCTCAATGCAAGGTCTCAGTTTTCTCTTATTCGGTATCTCTAATTGGATGTTAGCCATATCATTTCACTTAAATCCTGAGAATATTGAAAATATTGTAAATTATGCTATAGATATTTCAATAAACCGTCATGACATTGTGCAATGTGGTGTGGTTATTATATAATGAATAGGTAACTATTTGATGATATGTTTCTTTATTAGTTAGGCCAAGGGGAAAGTGGGGTAAATTGAGCCAAAGGGTTAAGTTGAGCCACCCTTATTTCAAGGAAACCATACACAAAATTAATAATTTGACCAAATATTTAGGAAGAGGTCATTATTTCATGGAGTCTAAGGAAGAAACCACATGGGAAAAGTGGTAAGCAATTTAGGTCCAAAAAAGTCAAATGAATGTATTGTGTTAGAGGTTTCATGATGTGTGTATCTAAACCAAAGTAGATACTTTTAAGATGGTTCTATACATCAGTTGGGGTCTCTATAAGCTTCAACATGAGGTCCTAAACCTAGCATGAAAGTGCATCCTTGTAGCTGTGTGGGTGGGCTAATAGTCAAAATGTTTGCATTGGGATAAGTTGAGCTAATAGCAAGTTGAGCAAATTGAAGTGTTTTCTTCCCAGGCGTAATGCAAGGCATTATCACTGGGATATGAGGTAACAACAGGGCCTGGCCTATGTTAAGTATTTTTTTTAAAGTACAAAATGTTTCTTAGGTGTTAAGCATTTTCACATTTTAGTCATTTAGCAGACACTCTTATCCAGAGCAAGTAGGATGAAGTGCCTTGCTCAAGTGCACATCAACAGATTTTTCACAGAGTCAGCTCGGGGATTTAAAAGCCACCTTTCGGTTACTGGTCCAACGCTCTTAACCACTAGGCTACCTGCCATTGTTAAAATATGCTAGGCTGTCATTAAAAACCGGTAGGCTACTTGTGTTAAAAGATTCTTAAAATGATTGAAACATAAAAAGTGAATGTGTTGAATTGTTTGGGAAATAAAGATAATAAATACTAATAATATGCCATTTAGCACATGCTTTTATCGAAAGCGACTTACAGTCATTTGTGCATACATTTTTGTGTATGGGTGGTCCCGGGGATCGAACCCACTACCCTGGCGATACAAACGCCGTGCTCTACCAGCTGAGCTACAGAGCCACAAGATAAACATGGTTTTAAAAAGGTAGTGGTAATATTTCATTCAGTACAGACATTTGTAGGCGGCTAAACTTACACTGTCCCGCGGCTTACCAAGAGACCACTTTTTTGGGACATTTACATTTACGTCATTTAGCAGACACTCTTATCCAGAGCGACTTACAAATTGGTGCATTGAACTTATGATAGCCAGTGGGACAACCACTTTTTTTTTATGGGGGGGGGGGGGGGGGGGGGGGTGTAGAAGGATTACTTTTATACTATTCCAGGTATTCCTTAAAGAGGTAGGGTTTCAAGTGTCTCCGGAAGGTGGTCAGTGACTCCGCTGTCCTGGCGTCGTGGGGGAGCTTGTTCCACCATTGGGGTGCCAGAGCAGCGAATAACTTTGACTGGGCTGAGCGGGAACCGTGCTTCCGTAGAGGTAGGGGGGCTAGCAGGCCAGAGGTGGATGAACGTAGTGCCCTCGTTTGGGTGTAGGGTCTGATCAGAGCCTGAAGATAAGGAGGTGCCGTTCCCCTCATAGCTCCGTAAGCAAGCACCATGGTCTTGTAGTAGATGCGAGCCTCAACTGGAAGCCAGTGGAGTGTGTGGAGGAGCGGGGTGACATGAGAGAACTTGGGAAGGTGGAACACCAGACGGGCTGCAGCGTTCTGGATAAGTTGTAGGGGTTTAATGGCTCAGGCAGGAAGCCCAGCCAACAGTGAGTTGCAGTAATCCAGACGGGAGATGACAAGTGCCTGGATTAGGACCTGTGCTGCTTTCTGTGTAAGGTAGGGTCGTACTCTGCGAATGTTGTAGAGCATGATAGTTCCAATGGTGGAACAAGCTCCTGGCACCCCAATGGTGGACTACAGCTCAGCATTCAACACCATAGTGCCCTCTAAGCTCATCACTAAGCTAAGGATCCTGGGACTAAACACCTCCCTCTGCAACTGGATCCTGGACTTCCTGACGGGCCGCCCCCAGGTGGTAAGGGTAGGTAACAACACATCTGCCACACTGATCCTCAACACGGGGGCCCCTCAGGGGTGCGTGCTCAGTCCCCTCCTGTACTCTCTGTTCACCCATGACTGCATGGCCAGGCACGACTCCAACACCATCATTAAGTTTGCCGACGACACAACAGTGGTAGGCCTGATCACCGACAACGATGAGACAGCCTATAGGGGGGAGGTCAGAGACCTGGCCGTGTGGTGCCAGGACAACAACCTCTCCCTCAACGTGACCAAGACAAAGGAGATGATTGTGGACTACAGGGGAAAAAAAGAGGACTGAGCATGCCCCCATTCTCATCGACGGGGCTGTAGTGGAACAGGTTGAGAGCTTCAAGTTCCTTGGTGTCCACATCACCAACGAACTATCATGGTCCAAACACACCAAGACAGTCGTGAAGAGGGCACGACAAAGCCTATTCCCCCTCAGGAGACTGAAAAGATTTGGCATGGGTCCTCAGATCCTCAAAAAATTCTACAGCTGCACCATCGAGAGCATCCTGACTGGTTGCATCACCGCCTGGTATGGCAACTGCTTAGCCTCCGACCGCAAGGCACTACAGAGGGTAGTGCGTACGGCCCAGTACATCACTGGGGCCAAGCTTCCTGCCATCCAGGACCTCTATACCAGGCGGTGTCAGAGGAAGGCCCTCAAAATTGTCAAAGACTCCAGCCACCCTAGTCATAGACTGTTCTCCCTGCTACCGCACGGCAAGCGGTACCGGAGTGCCAAGTCTAGGTCCAAAAGACTTCTCAACAGCTTCTACCCCCAAGCCATAAGACTCCTGAACAGCTAATCATGGCTACCCGGACTATTTGCACTGCCCCCCCACCCCATCCTTTTTACGCTGCTGCTACTCTGTTAATTATTTATGCATAGTCACTTTAACTCTACCCACATGTACATATTACTTCAACTATCTTAACTAGCCGGTGCCCCCGCACATTGACTCTGCTCCGGTACCCCCCTGTATATATAGCCTCCCTACTGTTATTTTATTTTACTTCTGCTCTTTTTTTCTCAACACTTTTTTAGTTGTTGTTTTATTTTTACTTTTTTTTGTTAAAAATAAATGCACTGTTGGTTAAGGGCTGTAAGTAAGCATTTCACTGTAATGTCTGCACCTGTTGTATTCGCCGCATGTGACCAATAAAATGTGATTTGATTTGATTTGATGAACCTGCAGGATCGGGTCACCGCTTTGATGTTAGCGGAGAACGACAGGGTGTTGTCCAGGGTCACGCCAAGGTTCTTTGCACTCTGGGAGGAGGACACAATGGAGTTGTCAACCGTGATGGCGAGATCATGGAGCGGGCAGTCCTTCCCCGGGAGGAAGAGCAGCTCTGTCTTGCCGAGGTTCAGCTTGAGGTGGTGATCCGACATCCACACTGATATGTCTGCCAGACATGCAGAGATGCGATTTGCCACCTGGTTATCAGAAGGGGGAAAGGAGAAAATTAGTTGTGTGTCATCTGCGTAGCAATGATAGGAGAGACCATGTGAGGATATGACAGAGCCAAGTGACTTGGTGTATAGAGAGAATAGGAGAGGGCCTAGAACTGAGCCCTGGGGGACACCAGTGGTGAGAGCACGTGGTGCGGAGACAGATTCTCGCCACGCCACCTGGTAGGAGCGACCTGTCAGGTAGGACGCAATCCAAGAGTGAGCAGCGCCGGAGATGCCCAACTCGGAGAGGGTGGAGAGGAGGATCTGATGGTTCATAGTATCAAAGGCAGCAGATAGGTCTAGAAGGATAAGAGCAGAGGAGAGAGAGATAGCTTTAGCAGTGCGGAGAGCCTCCGTGACACAGAGAAGAGCAGTCTCAGTTGAATGACCAGTCTTGAAACCTGACTGGTTTGGATCAAGAAGGTAATTCTGAGAGAGATAGCAGGAGAGTTGGCTAGAGACGGCGCGCTCAAGAGTTTTGGAGTGAAAAGAAAGAAGGGAAACTGGTCTGTAGTTGTTGACATCGGAGGGATCGAGTGTAGGTTTTTTGAGGAGGGGTGCAACTCTCGCTCTCTTGAAGACGGAAGGGACATGGCCAGCGGTCAAGGATGAGTTGATGAACGAGGTGAGGTAAGGGAGAAGGTCTCCGGAAATAGTCTGGAGAAGAGAGGAGGGGATAGGGTCAAGCGGGCAGGTTGTTGGGCGGCCGGCCGTCACAAGATTTCATTTGGAGAGAGAGGGGAGAAAGAAGTGAAAGCATAGGGTAGGGCAGTGTGAGCAGGACCAGCGGTGTCATTTGACTTAATAAATGAGGATCGGATGTCGTCAACCTTCTTTTCAAAATGGTTGACGAAGGCATCCACAGAGAGGGAGGAGGAGGATTCAGCAGGGTGGAGAAGGTGGCAAAGAGCCTCCTAGGGTTAGAGGAAGAGGCTTGACATTTAGAGTGGTAGAAAGTGGCTTTAGCAGCAGAAACAGAGGAAGAGAATGTAGAGAGGAGGGAGTGAAAAGATGACAGGTCCGCAGGGAGTCTAGTTTTCCTCAATTTCCGCTCGGCTGCCCGGAGCCCTGTTCTGTGAGCTCGCAATGAGTCGTCAAGCCATGGAGCAGGAGGGGAGGACCGAGCCGGCCGGGAGGATAGGGGACATAGAGAGTCAAAAGATGCAAAAAGGGAGGAGAGGAGGGTTGAGGAGGCAGAATCAGGAGATCAGAGGGAGAAGGATTTAGCTGAGGGAAGAGATGATAGGATGGAAGAGGAGAGTAGCGGGAGAGAGAGAGCGAAGGTTGCGACGGCACATTACCATCTGAGTAGGGGCAGAGTGAGTAGTGTTGGAGGAGAGCGAGAGAGAAAAGGATACAAAGTAGTGGTCTGAGACTTGGAGGGGAGTTGCAATGAGATTAGTAGAAGAACAGCATCTAGTAAAGATGAGGTCAAGCGTATTCCCTGCCTTGTGAGTAGGGGGGGATGGTGAGAGGGTGAGGTCAAAAGAGGAAAGGAGTGGAAAGAAGGAGGCAGAGAGAAATGAGTCAAAGGCAGACGTAGGGAGGTTAAAGTCACTCAGAACTGTGAGGGGTGAGCCATCCTCAGGAAAGGAGCTTATCAAGGCGTCAAGGTCATTGATGAACTGTAACTCAGTAAAGTTGTTGCATTTTTGTTCAGTGTATATTTCCCTTAAAAAAGTGATGCTGAATGTAAAAACACTTCTCAACTTACCCCATTCTCCCCTACTACAGAAATAAAGGTACTGTATTGAGGTCTCACCAACTCTCTTCAGTCTCACCAAATATATTACACATGCAAGATCACAGGGGGCGCCACTTGTTCAGTTTTAGCAGACCTTATACTTTGGTACATTCACAGATAGATTATTAGAAGCAATTGCTATTATGCGTCTTCAGTGTTGGGGAAGCTACATTTTACATTTACATTTTAGTCATTTAGCAGACGCTCTTATCCAGAGTGACTTACAGTTAGTGAATGCATACATTATTATTATTTTATTTTTTCATACTGGCCCCCATGGGAATCGAACCCACAACCCTCAAAACACCATGCTCTACCAACTGAGCTACATCCCTGCTGGCCATTCCCTCCCCTACCCTGGGCCAATTGTGCGCAACCCCATGGGTCTCCCAGTCACGGCCGGCTACGACAGAGCCTGGATACGAACCAGGATCTCTAGTGGCACAGCTAGCACTACGATGCAGTGCATTAGACCACTGCGCCACTTGGGAGACTGTTTACCAGATAGTTTACCAAGCTACCAATTACTTTACATTGAAATAAGTTAAGCTACACTAAAGCTACCCTTAAATATAGTTTACTTAACTAAAGTTACTTTGAAAAAGTAGTTCACTACATCTAAACTACTTCATGAAAAATTTTAATATGTAAATCTGAAATGTCAATGACTCCAAATTACAAGAACAGATCACTTTGGGGTAATATGGTAACAACAATGTGTAATTTAGCCTATTTAACACAACTATGTTTCAGGTGAGAATTGTGCAGGTCTGATGCTGGAAAATAAAGGAAATTGTCTACTTCACCCATATTTTATTTTAGCAAAAAAAGTAGTTTGTAGTTCAACTAGTTAGCTACACCACTACATGGCAAAAAAGTAATTAACTACAGAAAACAGTACCTAGATTTCAATTTAGTTCAACTACCACCAAGCTACTGCTAAATGTAGTTTACTTACTAGCTGAACTACATGTAGTTAACTACTCCCAAACACTGAGCTTCTTGCAATGACTAAATATCTAGGCCTAGTTCATGACAGCCCTGCCACTGACCCATTTTGTTCTACTAATCTGATCATTTATCATAATTTAAACAGCTGTAGTCTATGTTATTCTGTCTTTGTCTTAAACCGAGACAATTCTCTTTCAGAAATGTATGCTTATTGTTTAGATTTGAGAACGTAGGCTATATAGGCAATGGCTTTTCTCAGGCATGTGAAACGTTTTGCACACTTCACAAGCAGTTGAACCATTTAGCAGAATAAGATGTTTATTTTCCCAATATGATTTATCGTCACCAGCTGTGGCTAGCAAAACGAAAGAACCCACGTTTTATCTGAAAATGCTAATTTCTTGGCACATTCGTTTTTGCCTACGTGCATGAAATGCCGATCGACAAACAAAAGAAAAAACACTATACGACTGCCATCCAATTGTGTCGCGTGCATCACAGTGCCCGCCTCCCCGGGTACCCGCTTTCGCTGCCAAATTGTGCATGCTGCCCGGACAGAGGCATCAGTGTAGTTTGCTGCGATAGACGTTTCACTCGGATTCTTTTTGTTTATCTTTGTACTTTCTTGATCGGAGCGCTCATAATATGAAGAATATGACGCTGCGAAGGCTTAAAAAAGTCAACTCTAGCGATCCATCTAGTGGACGTTCGAGCCAGGACGGCATTTACTTTCCGTCCTCAAAGTCAGACAGTTGTAAAACTATGGATTTACCAACTAACTCGGAAGTGTATAATTACAAGACTTTGGCTTACTCTGGTGGAACGTTGCCAAGGAACTTCAGAAAGGTGTGTATACTGTTTAACTTTGTCACATTGTAACTTGCACTTGCTCCTTCAATCAAGTAGTCTAGCATAATAGACACATCAATGAAAGCACATAATTTCAGTTAGGCAAATACAGTGTCACTTGCCCGTAAGGTACAGAGGCCAGCGGGATACGCTCAATATTTGAATATGGATGTTTCTTGTTTCCTCGTGGCTTCTCACACATTGAACACATCAATTGATGTATGTTGTTCATTATGAGTGGAGACATTAGCCTATCGGTGACGAAATTGTATTTAATTAGAAACAGCAATGTGAATATTTGTGACATTTTGTCAGAGCCCCACATGGATGGCCTGTTGCCATGTTGTGCTCACCAACCGTCTGTTCCCCATTTTGATATAAGCTTTGTATAAAAGTTGACACACACACTGAAGCAAAATCTCAAATGGTGTCCACTTGTCACGTACTAATGCTTGCCCCTTCCGACCACACAAACATTATGCTTTATGAGTGCCACACTCCAGACTCGCTCTTGATTCAGTGCAATCCAACCATTTCATAATATCTCTGCATTGGTCCCAAAGAGGATGCTTTGGGACCAAATTAGTTTGGCATTCAATTAGTATTTCTAGGTATGCAAACATAATGTACTGAGGCAGAACATGGCCTCACAAGGAACAGTGCTGTCTTTACTAGTGAATTAACATGGCCAAGCATCATCATAATCTGAGAATGTACTGTGATGTAGACTGGTAAAACGGTTATCATGGGAAGCTGTAGCAGTTTGTGTGTGTGTGACAACAGCATCAGTTGTCCCAGTTCTGTAGTGTTACTGTACTGTAATAGGAGGCCAGCCAGAGTTATGTGGAGGTCTCCTTCGTACATCTCACATCATCATCTGGAGCCTAGGACCACAACAGGGCATTGTGCAGGGGACCCTGCTCTGCTCCTACCAACCCCATGGGTCTCTCTCTCTCTTGGTACTTGGGAATAAATGAAGTCATTGAGAGGGGCCCGGGACAATTCTGGGAGTGTTAAAAAAAAAAAGTAACATTTTACTACCCAATGAGGCAGTGACACAAAGTGCCCTTTCATAGGGGCAACATTTAAAATCATTGAGGTAGAACAGAGGTGAATTGATTGTAGTGTAGGCTAAATACGGTAAGGGATGTAGTGTAAGAGATACTTGTAGTTTACACTAAGTAAAGTGGAGGTTGGGTGGGTCTCCCAAAGTCCGAATTTGGTTTGGGGTTTCCCTCAATGCAGGGATTGTGGCAAGAGGCCGAAGGCTCCAGTCCATACACACGTCTTGTTTGTCTACAGTCTGAATATAACCTGTAGAAATAGGGAGATATTTTTGACTGTTATCAGAAATAACAGACACACACAGTTTGGTTTGATCAGCAGTCTGGGCATCACAAGTCAGTGGACTCCGATGTAGAGAATTAAATATACAGTGGGGAAAAAAAGTATTTAGTCAGCCACCAATTGTGCATGTTCTCCCACTTAAAAAGATGAGAGAGGCCTGTAATTTTCATCATAGGTACATGTCAACTATGACAGACAAATTGCGGGGGAAAAATCCAGAAAATCACATTGTAGGATTTTTTATGAATTTATTTGCAAATTATGGTGGAAAATAAGTATTTGGTCACCTACAAACAAGCAAGATTTCTGGCTCTCACAGACCTGTAACTTCTTCTTTAAGAGGCTCCTCTGTCCTCCACTCGTTACCTGTATTAATGGCACCTGTTTGAACTTGTTATCAGTATAAAAGACACCTGTCCACAACCTCAAACAGTCACACTCCAAACTCCACTATGGCCAAGACCAAAGAGCTGTCAAAGGACACCAGAAACAAAATTGTAGACCTGCACCAGGCTGGGAAGACTGAATCTGCAATAGGTAAGCAGCTTGGTTTGAAGAAATCAACTGTGGGAGCAATTATTAGGAAATGGAAGACATACAAGACCACTGATAATCTCCCTCGATCTGGGGCTCCACGCAAGATCTCACCCCGTGGGGTCAAAATGATCACAAGAACGGTGAGCAAAAATCCCAGAACCACACGGGGGGACCTAGTGAATGACCTGCAGAGAGCTGGGACCAAAGTAACAAAGCCTACCATCAGTAACACACTATGCCGCCAGGGACTCAAATCCTGCAGTGCCAGACGTGTCCCCCTGCTTAAGCCAGTACATGTCCAGGCCCGTCTGAAGTTTGCTAGAGTGCATTTGGATGATCCAGAAGAGGATTGGGAGAATGTCAGATGAAACCAAAATAGAACTTTTTGGTAAAAACTCAACTCGTCATGTTTGGAGGACAGAGAATGCTGAGTTGCATCCAAAGAACACCATACCTACTGTGAAGCATGGGGGTGGAAACATCATGCTTTGGGGCTGTTTTTCTGCAAAGGGACCAGGACGACTGATCCGTGTAAAGGAAAGAATGAATGGGGCCATGTATCGTGAGATTTTAAGTGAAAACCTCCTTCCATCAGCAAGGGCATTGAAGATGAAACGTGGCTGGGTCTTTCAGCATGACAATGATCCCAAACACACCGCCCGGGCAACGAAGGAGTGGCTTCGTAAGAAGCATTTCAAGGTCCTGGAGTGGCCTAGCCAGTCTCCAGATCTCAACCCCATAGAAAATCTTTGGAGGGAGTTGAAAGTCCGTGTTGCCCAGCGACAGCCCCAAAACATCACTGCTCTAGAGGAGATCTGCATGGAGGAATGGGCCAAAATACCAGCAACAGTGTGTGAAAACCTTGTGAAGACTTACAGAAAACGTTTGACCTGTGTCATTGCCAACAAAGGGTATATAAAAAAGTATTGAGAAACTTTTGTTATTGACCAAATACTTATTTTCCACCATAATTTGCAAATAAATTCATTAAAAATCCTACAATGTGATTTTCTGGAGAGAAAAAAAATCTCATTTTGTCTGTCATAGTTGACGTGTACCTATGATGAAAATTACAGGCCTCTCTCATCTTTTTAAGTGGGAGAACATGTACAATTGGTGGCTGACTAAATACTTTTTTCCCCCACTGTAGATGTCCAAAACGTCTCCTGTGTCTAAATAGGGTAAACCGAGAGCAGACAGTCAGACACAGACATACTGGTTTTTATCTGTAATGGTTTCTTACCAATGTTTAGGCTCAGTAGCTTAAACGCAAACATAGACACTATATACACACACAACATGCATCAGGAGGACTTGGTGGACAAGACACATGAGCGAGAGTTTGAGGTGTGTCCTGCAAACCTGGCTTACGTACGTAGGAAGAAAATCCCCGTTGCGTGCAGTGTGATTTCTGTTTGAACATTTAAATGCCTAATTTTGGTTGTTTGTTATTTCATGTCTGTCATGTTTTGTCATCACAGAATGGTGGGCTGCAGAAGTGGAAGCCCCTGACTCAGACCCCAGAGCCACGGAGGTAAGCCAAACAGTCATCTCTCCCCCTGGCATCAGTTACAGGACACATCTGCCTTTCTGTCACTTCTCACTCTTGACTGTGGTGGAGGGACGCATATGTTGTACACAGAATGCCAGAACAGCATTACTAAACCCTTTCATTCACAACAGACCCAAGTGATACGTGTTAACAAAATTACAGTGGGCTGCTTTCAGAGTAATTTGAGTAGGCCTCTGCGTTCAGCTTTTGGGAAAATTGAATGTAGTGAGTTATAGAAATTCAGCAGTACAGTAGCCTTTTGTATTTGTGGTTATTACTATTTACGGAGTGACTTCGCTGGACCCCTCTTCCCGACAGCTAAAGGTCCGATGCTTCTGTACTTTACGCGCAGTTTCTGCTCTACTTGTTTTTTTTCTACTACATTTTTTTCCCAGAGGGACGGGGCGGTTACCTACGGATCCTACTATTTGACATTCTAATGTATTATGCATTTGTATGTAATTTATAGATGCTGTTTTGATGTAACTGAATGCCTCGATGTCTGTCTGCCTGCTTTATATAGCAAGCCACGGCCACTGTCTGTAGGAGCAAACCATTTTCGTGAACGGGGTGGTGTACCTAATAAAACTGGCCACTGAGTGTATAGTACATGGTCTACCAATATTGTGTACTGGACCCCACCTATGGCATCAAGTATCCAGCCCACAGTGCCGTCCCCTCCGCAAACCAAGATCCTGTAATCCTTCAGATTTCTGAAGAAGCACAGCCTGAAACACAGATGTTTTATTATGTTGGGGGGGATTTTATCATCCCTGCCTAAATGAAAACAACCTTTTCACTATTTCAATACTGGTTTGTTTTTGCTCAAAACATTTTAGAGTTCAGTTTAACTGTGAGTGTATTACACAGCTAGGTATCATGATGTCCATCATCATCCATGGGATTTTTGCAGAGAAAAAATGTATAGTGCAGATAATCCAGAAAGGTATTATCTGGAGATAGTATCTATGGAGAGGACTCCATTACACTCTTGCTATTTCATTGTATAGAATTTTCTGTGAGAATGAGCTACAGTGCCTTCAGAAAGTATTCACATCCCTTGACTTTTTCCACATTTTGTTGTGTTACAGCTTGAATTTAAAATGGATTCAAATTAGCTTTTTTGTCACTGGCCTACACACAATACCCCATAATGTCAAAGTGGAATTATATCTTTCGAAATTAACACATTCATTCAAATGACAAGCTGAAATGTATTGTCAGTAAGTATTCAACCCCTTTTGTTATGGCAAGCCTAAATAAGTAAATGTGCTTACCGAGTCACATAATAAGTTGCGTGGACTCACTCTGTGTACAATAATAGTGTTTACCTTGATTTTTGAATGACTACCTCATCTCTGTACCCCACACATACAATTATCTGTAAGGTCCCTTAGTCGAGCAGTGAATTACAAGCACAGATTCACCCACAAAGACCAAGGAGGTTTTTCAATGCCTTGCAAAGAAGGGCACATATTGGTAGATGGGTAAAAATGGACATTGAATATCCCTTTGAGCATGGTGAAGTTATTAATTACACTTTGGATGGTGTATCAATACAACCAGTCACTACAAAGATACACAGGCGTCCTTCCTAACTCAGTTTCCGGAGAGGAAGGAAACCGCTTAGGGATTTCATCATGAGGCCAATGGTGACTTTAAAACAGAGTTTAATGGCTATGATAGAACTGAGGATGGACCAACAACATTGTAGTTACTCCACAGTACTAACTTAATTGACAGAGTGCAAAGAAAGAAAAAGCTTTTACAGAATAAAAATATTCCAAAACGTAGATCCTGTTTGCAGCAAGGCAGTAAAGTAATACTGCAAAGAATGTGGCAAAGCAATTAACTTTTTGTCCTGAATACAAAGTGATGTACCACTCTCCATATTTTCAAGCATAATGGTGGCTGCATCATGTTATGGGTATGCTTGTAATCGTTAAGGACTGGGAAGCTTTTCAGGATAAAAAAATTAACGGAATGGAGCTAAGTACAGGCAAAATCCTACAGGGAAAACCTGGTTCAGTCTGCTTTCTACCAGACACTGGGAGATTAATTCACCTTTCAGCAGGACAATGACCTAAAACACAAGGCCAAATATACGCTGGAGTTGCTTACCAAGAAGACAGTGAAGGTTCCTGAGTGGCCAAGTTACAGTTTTGACTTAATCTATGGCGAGACCTGAAAATGGTAGTCTAGCAATGATCAACAACCAATTTGACAGATTTTGAAGAATTTTGAAAAGAATAATGGGCAAATGTTGCACAATCCAGGTGTGGAAAGCTCTTAGAGACTTACCCAGAAAGACTCCGCTGTAATCGCTGCCAAAGGTACTTCTACAAAGTATTGACTCAGGGGTGTGAATACTTATGTAAATTAGGTATTTCTGTATTACAGTTTCAATAAATTAGCATAAATGTATACAAAAATGTTTTCACTTTATCGTTGTGTGTAGATGCCCATTCTTTTTTATGTAATCCATTTTGAATTCAGGTTGTAACAACAACAACAACAACATCAACAACCTTATGAAAAATGTATGCACTCACTAACTGTAAGTCGCTCTGGATAAGAGCGTCTGCTAAATGACTAAAATGTAAATGTAAATGAATAAGTCAAGGGGTATGAATACTTTCTGAAGGCACTGTATGTGCACCAGGTGGTGATGTCGCCAGTCACAATTCACTTGTGGCTGAAAACTGTAAGTAAATGAAAACCAATATCAAACTAATTTAATCATATCCCCATTTTTATCTTGTGTTTTAGGAAAGTTGTCCTGGAGAAGAAGAATGAGGAGACGTTTGGCTTTGAGATTCAGGTAAGAGGTTTATTGACGTGGGAGGTGGTATGGTACGGGGGATTTTTGAGCGTCATTTAACAGGATTTTCCTGCTCTCTTATGTTCACATTAACGCTGATGAGATTGCACCCTCCAACCATGTGGATGATTTCACCCCATCAAATAAGATTTAGAGTGGAGTGTGTGCATGTGTTGAAAGCGTCAAAGGTCACAGAGAGAAATGTATCCGTGAGCCTCATACTCGCAATATAAGGCTTTGATGTGTCCCATGACTTGAGATGAGAGAAGGCGGTTTTCTAGCTGTTTTCTTTCGGGTCCATTTTCAAAGTGGCGTGGTTTTGTAAAATGTTCTCACGCTGCTGCGTGTCGTGTCAGACCGGCTACTATATTCCGATCCCTCGAGGACACTGTTAACAGTCAGACTTCTGCCCTCTTTATCTGTCAGAGCTCCCTCTCTGTCCCCGCAGCGCTTCTTCACAATGCACCACTTGTTGTCAGACAGCCTTATCTCTAAAGAGAGGACACCGGCCAATGTAAGGGCCATGAAAATTATCAGTACTGCTTATATTTAGTGTTGGGATGGAGGTCCCTCCTTTCCTGCCTGGCCTTGTTCTTTAGGAAGTGAGGCCAGAGACTGAAGAGATGGATGGCTTTCGGATCCTGTGCTTTTTCCATCATGTCGCTGGACTTCACCAGGCAGTCACCAGTTCTCCTATTCCTTTAGCTTGGGGTGCTGAGAGGATAATGTCAGTATCAACTATGTAAATGCATAGTTGGATTGGGATTTGCATCTCTAGGGTCATTTGCATGTTCGGTTTCTGTGGAAGGCCCATGGGTCTGGTAAGGAAGGGAGAATGCTCACGTTATTTCACGTAGATGAGCATCATACAGAAACGTGTTTCTAGATGGCTGGTTGTACACCCGAGTAGATGGCATTTGACTTGATTTACTGACTGTGCAATTGCCATTTTGTCACTGTCACCTAATGTCTCAACAGACAAGCATGTCAGGGAAAGCTCTGAGTTTAAACGCCACCTCGGGATAACACTCAGTCAGACAGCAGTGGAATGTTGAATGATGTGATTCACTTGACAAGACAACTTAAGGGGAAGTCTGGCTGTGGTTGTTTGTCATATTTGCCTCCAAGACAATCAATCTAAGGAAGATCGTCAACAAAATGGTGATAGTGTGAAAAATGTTTGCGTGTCAGTTTCGGTCCTAACAGTGTTGGTTTACCTTTATCTCTCTGCAGTATGAGGAAAGAGAATGGTGGTTAATGTCACTGGTAAACTGTACGAGAATTTGTCTGATTGTTCTAACCAAATTTGTTGATAAAGGTCCTAGCTCATGAAGAGACTGCTTTTAACATACTTTTTATGACGGACATTGATAGAGGGCTGTATTCGTTTTTGATTAACCACGCAAGGGAAATGGGGCTTCTTTTTTGCATATTAACTGATTTGATCCCTCTTCCGTCTGCATCTCTGTTCGAGGTTATTGTCTGTCTTGCTGCTTCATTGTCAGCCAATGTTATCTAATCTGCTGTGTAGAACTGGGTTTGTCTGACAGTCCTCACCAGTCAGGCCTTCAGATGCAGACTACAATCTCAGAAGCACATAGTTTAATATCACAAATATTCATAAATACTTTGGAAGAGATGCCCTAGGCTCCCCTGTACCATGGACTGTCTTCAAAGTTTCAAATGCCTTTGTCTGTTATGTAGCAAGGCCTGGCACTTCAGGTATAGACCTCAGGTATACTGTGTGTAAAGAGAAATTACTCAGCGTTTCTGAAGGGAAATTACCAATGATTTTGAACACGATGCAATGTTTCTGATAATTGTTAACAGAATTTATCCATGTCTTGCACCTAATTGTTCCTAAGAATATATTTATTTGAATGAAAAGCTGTCTAGCCAAAATAATAATTGTTATCCATTATCCTAATTTCCTTCTTCCAGACATATGGGCTGCACCACCAGGACCAGAACTCTGTGGAGATGTGCACATTTGTGTGCAAGGTTCACGACGACAGCCCTGCCCAACAAGCCGGACTCAAAGTTGGTAAGTGGAACTGAAAACCCCGGTTCATTAGGGACTTTTGAACAGTATTTAAGGGCATTTGACACATACATGACCTGCCTTTGCTGAAAAAAGACCTCGGGGGAAGAATGAAGAACAGGTGGTTTTGATACAGTCCCTTTCTTGTTTGCCAGCCAGGTGTGGGTAGCTGTCCCTAAGTAAACACGTGCACAAATGAGTTTCAGTCGGCTGTTTAGGGATGTACAAATACAAACAGAAAATGTGCCTAGTCATTTTCCAGTCAACAAACACTATAGGAAGAGATTATTTCAGCAAACATCATGCAGGTCAACTCCCTTGTCTCTGTTGCCGCCTTGCCGGATACAATAACTCAAATGCATACAATGACTTGGCCAATTCTATTTTCATATATTTTTTTGTATTTCATAAATTGCTCTATTTCCTCTTTAGTCTGTAACATTATTTCTCTAAAATACCTCAGACAGAAGCCTTTGCCAATCTTGTTTAAAAAAAATAATAATACTGCCCATTATATCAGAAACAATAGGGGAAGTGAAAGAAGAAATGGTATATTCTCACATTTAATTTCTCTAAACCTGATACCACAGTATTTATTAGTCTCAGAGAGCGAAGGAGCACTAGAGGCAGGGCCAAATTAAACCAGGCCTAGACAGACTTCTCTACCCATCTGAAACTAATAACAAACAATCTAATAAACTTGCAATACTTTAACAATAACAGATAGAGTAACACCAAAATGCTTGAACAATATTTTTCAGGCCGTCTTGAAATTAGGAAAAGTGGGTAACAACAGCACGTGTGCCAAGTGGCCTGCTGTGACCACACAGCCAGGGTTTAGACTAGAACCAGTGTCTGTATCACACATGGGCTGCTGGAGAATCCACCAACAAAGTGCTTTTGATTGCTCCATAAACCACAGACACTAGCGGGATCAAACCAGTCTCAGCAGACCACAGCTATGATAAAACCACACTGGAATTAACTGGGTCTGTTTTGTTAACATGCATGTTGTTTGTGTGCACAGGGGACACCATCGCTAGTGTGAACGAGACCTCCGTGGACGGATTTCTACACAAGGAGATTGTTCAGCTAATCAGGGCCTCTGGGAACTCCATTGGGTAAGCAGATCAGAGTTCAATGGCAAAGAGAACTGGACTGGTTGTCGATGGTAACAGAACTTAATTGCTCCACTTTTTGTATTGACCTTAGTCAGATCGGTCTATAAAGAGTTCCTTGTGTTCTATGACCATTTTTTGATACTTTTTAGTGTCGTTTTGATACTGATACATCTTTGATCTTCTTGCTTGAGCAATGTTGCAGTCCAAAGTACAAAATCACACAGAATTGATAATGGAGTCATTATCTATTGACTGAGAAACAGGTTAGTATTTTTCCGTCATGAATCTTGTTGTGGAGCCAGCTCTGCAGTGGTCACTAGCTGGCACAGCCACAAAGTCATACAATCTGATTTTAAATCTAAGCTTAAACACACTGCTAACCTTAATGCCTAACCCTAAATCAAGACCATGAATGTTTACAATATAGCCAATTTTGACTTTGCAGCTGGCCTATCTAAGAGGAAATTGCTCAGTTCTGCCTCCAGGACAAGACTCATGACAATAAACGTCAACCTGCGACTGAGAATGGGAATACTAATTAAATAATAATAATAATAATAATATGCCATTTAGCAGACGCTTTTATCCAAAGCGACTTACAGTCATGCGTGCATACATTTTTGTGTATGGGTGGTCCCGGGGATCGAACCCACTACCTTGGCGTTACAAGCGCCGTGCTCTACCAGCTGAGCTACAGAGGACCACCAATTAATGACTCACTCTGTAAATATTGTGTGGTGACTCCTGAGAGATATACTGGAGAAATGTAATATCTTTTAAATAGCTTCCATGCAATCAATGTGTCATGGATGTACTCTAAACAATTATTGTTTGCACACCAAAGTTGCCTAGAAGCAAGTCATTACCCTTTTTTTAATATGCAGAATTAACTTGCACAGTGTTAAATTGGAACCATACTCTTGCTCTCTTTGTCTGCTTGTAAAAGATGAAAGGCCTATTAGAATCGGGCCCCATTTATAATCTCAGAAGGCAGCTCTATAAGCAGTGAAGTTAACCACACAAAAGGCCCAGTGCAGGCCTCATCTTACTATAGACTTCATCTAATTATTCTCGCCTCTAGAAAACATATAGGCCTAGTGAACTATTAACAGAGAGCTTGTATCAGCCCAATAAAAACAAGAGGTGCACCAGTTGCCACAGTCGAGTGGGTGTCTTGAAACGTGATACCTTCTGAAGCTTTCCCCCCTACCTGCAAACTGTTGAGCCTAGACTTGCATGTTAGGGTCTCCTTTATAAGAGCCTTTTTCACAGCTACTTCTGAAGTTCCTCTCTGTTCTTAATTGGGTCCAGAGTATGCTGTGAATCCTTACTCTCCTTTTTTTGTGGCTCTCTAGCCTTCCTGTGTCTGAAGTAACAACATTGCTCTGTCTTTCCTTAGGCTGGAGACGGTATACAGCGACTCCATTCGAAAAGCAGAACTGGAGGCCAGGCTTCAGTATCTAAAGGTGAATATCTCTTCCTCTTCCCCTCTGTAGCAAACCTGTGGTTCTGCTTGCTTCTACAGTTCAACATAAATGGGTATCCGGGGGGGGGGGGGGGGGGGGTGTGTGAGACAACGACCATAAGAGTTGACTATACAGCACAAACAGATCTGGGACCAGGCAAGTGTTTCACTGGGATCAGTCTGACAGTGTAGTGAAAAGCCTATAGCCAGCAAGTGCAGTGCTCTCACCAGACCAATCCCTTTCCCACATCTCCCTCCTGTTTCATGACTAGCGCCTGCAGTGCACTTACATAATGCTGTGTGAGCACAGTGACTGAGAGTACATTTACATTTTAGTCATTTAGCAGATGCTCTTATCCAGAGCGACTTACAGTTAGTGAGTGCATACATTTTTTCATACTGGCCCCCAGTGGGAATCGAACCCACAACCCTGGCGTTGCAAGCGCCATGCTCTACCAACTGAGCTACACGGGGCCCGTGTAGAGTAGACAGTTATTCTTACATTACACTTGGCTGGTAAAAAAGACACTTTTAATGTGTGAAGATAAGTGGCTTTCCTCAAGGCTGCTGTCCCGAAGTTCCTCCATCAGTGCTACAGACTGAAATCACACAAATTGTCACCTTTTCTAAATTTGATGTATTTTCTTTCATCAGCAAACCCTACATGAGAAATGGGATGAATACAGATCTTTGATGATGCAAGAGCAGAGGCTGGTTCATGGTAAGTCATTCATTTATGTTGATGTATATGATCTCAGGTAAATTCATTTGAAGTAAATTTAAGATGTGTGCTAAACCAGTGATGTCCATTGTAACACTCTTTCCCGGTGTCTTCTAGGCATAGTGATGAGTGATGCTGCGATCTGTGAGTCCCTGGAGTCTGCGGGGGTGTACGGTAGTCTGGGTGCCCCGAGTCCGGCCGCCCTGCGTGCCCTCCGCTGCACCGGCAGCACCAGCAGCAGCGCCAGCCACCTGAGTGCCACCACGGAGGAGGACCCACTCTACCAGACCTGTCTGTTCCAGAGGCAGGGTGACCACCTCAACGATGCCAACGGTGACCTCACTAGCAGCACAGAGAAAGACAAACAGAAACCGGAACAGGAGAAGCCTCCACAGGGTAAGCAGAGACTGATCCGCCCTGCCAGTGAGCTCTTCACCTCAGCCAAGACCCACCTGACCCGCAGCTCCAGCACACGCAGCTACCTGAGGGCCTCCAACAACAACTCTTCATCAACACCAGGGGAGAAAGCACAATCGGGAGGGTTCAGCTCGCTACAGAGGAAACCCAAACAGAAGAGCTTCCGCCGACACCTCCTCAAGTTCATCCCTGGACTGAACAGAGCAATGGAGGAGGAGGAGAGCAAGCTCTGAGAACTAAACGGACTAAACACCCGAAGAACTGGAGAGTCTTTCTGACCCAAAGACTTAACATTGCCTCTGACTCAACCTAACAACCAAAGATTTCAACTAGTGCCACAGAGAGTAAAAAGAGAGACACATTTGGTCTCAATCTGTCCAGTCATACCTTTGTACTTGTTCAGATGACTACACATTTGACCCAGCGGAACCAATGGTCCTTTGTGTTCTGAAGCACACTCCAATTTGAGGAGACACCTGTACATACTGTACCTTGGTTACTGTTTCTATAGTTCATAAGTTATTTATTTATTTTTGATTAGTTTGACCTATGTACAGAATGAAGGATTTTGTTTTTGTGTTTTAATTTAGTTTTGTCATCATGACAGTTGAAAATAAATGCCCCATATCTTCACATACAACTTTTTGTAAGAGACATTTGTTACTGTTTTTCTACCAGTTTGATCTGGTGTTCTCTTGCTGAAAATATCTAAAAATAAATGTGTGGCATTTTGATTAGCCTTCCTTGTTGTTTTATTTTGGGCATTTAATAATGAAGACTTTGTTCTTTGGAGTACATTGTGACTGTCTACTCCACAGCTGTTCTAAGAAGTTGCAGTTGATCTATCACTCTCAACTGTGAAGGCATTATATATATATATATATATATATATATATATACACACACACAGTGAGGGGAAAAAAGTATTTGATCCCTGCTGATTTTGTACGTTTGCCCACTGACAAAGAAATGATCAGTCTATAATTTTAATGGTAGGTTTATTTGAACAGTGAGAGACAGAATAACAACAACAAAATCCAGAAAAACGCATGTCAAAAATGTTATAAATTGATTAGCATTTTAATGAGGGAAATAAGTATATAATATACAGTTGAAGTCGGAAGTTTACATACACTTAGGTTGGAGTCATTAAAACTCATTTTTCAACCACTCCACAAATTTCTTGTTAACAAACTATAGTTTTGGCAAGCCGGTTAGGACATCTACTTTGTGCATGACACAAGTAATTTTTCCAACAATTGTTTACAGATAGATTATGTCACTTATAATTCACTGTATCACAATTCCAGTTGGTCAGAAGTTTACATACACTAAGTTGACTGTGCCTGTAAACAGCTTGGAAAATTCCAGAAAATGATGTCATGGCTTAAGAAGCTTCTGCTAGGCTAATTGACATCATTTGAGTCAATTGGAGGTGTACCTGTGGATGTATTTCAAGGCCTACCTTCAAACTCAGTGCCTCTTTTCCTGACATCATGGGAACATCAAAAGAAATCAGCCAAGGGAGCAATTTCCAAATGCCTGAAGGTACCACGTTCATCTGTACAAACAATAGTACGCAAGTATAAACACCATGGGACCACGCAGCCGGCATACCGCTCAGGAAGGACTTTGGTGCGAAAAGTGCAAATCAATCCCAGAACAACAGCAAAGGACCTTGTGAAGATGCTGAAGGAAACAGGTACAAAAGTATCTATATCCACAGTAAAACAAGTCCTATATCGACATAACCTGAAAGGCCGCTCAGCAAGGAAGAAGCCACTGCTCCAAAACCGCCATTAAAAAGCCAGACTACGGTTTGCAACTGCACATGGGGACAAAGATCATACTTTTTGGAGAAATGTCCTCTGGTCTGATGAAACAAAAATATAACTGTTTGGCCATAATGACCATTGTTATGTTTGGAGGAAAAGGGGGGTTGCTTGCAAGTCGAAGAACACCATCCCATCCGTGAAGCACGGGGGTGGCAGCATCATGCTGTGGGGGTGCTTTGCTGCAGGAGGGACTGGTGCACTTCACAAAATAAATGGCATCATGAGGAAGGAAAATTATGTGGATATATTGAAGTAACATCTCAAGACATCAGTCAGGAAGTTAAAGCTTGGTCTCAAATGGGTCTTCGAAATGGACAATGACCCGAAGCATACTTCCAAAGTTGTGGCAAAATGGCTTAAGGACAACAAAGTCAAGGTATCTGAGTGGCCATCACAAAGCCCTGACCTCAATCCTATAGAACATTTGTGGGCAGAACTGAAAAAGTGTGTGCGAGCAAGGAGGCCTACAAACCTGACTCAGTTACACCAGCTCTGTCAGGAGGAATGGGCCAAAATTCACCCAACTTATTGTGGGAAGCTTGTGGAAGGCTACCCGAAACATTTGACCCAAGTTAAACAATTTAAAGGCATTGCTAACAAATACTAATTGAGTGTATGTAAACTTCTGACCCACTGGGAATGTGATGAAATAAATAAAAGCTGAAATAAATCATTCTCTCTACTATTATTCTGACATTTCACATTCTTAAAATAAAGTGTTGATCCTAACTGACCTGAGACAGGGCATTTTTACTAGGATTAAATGTCAGGAATTGTGAAAAACTGAGTTTAAATGTATTTGGCTAAGGTGTATGTAAACTTCCGACTTCAACTGTGTATATATATATACCGTAGTATGATTCACAGTCATACAGTAATAGTATCTTTATTCTGTGATACTTGTAATATCTATCCCCTTCATGTGCTTTCATAAAATAATTTGAAGGACCAAATAGTTATGTCCTCAAGGATGGGGATGAGGGATGGGTGGAGGAGGGGGTTGTGGTGGTTGAACATTCCTCCAATTCTAAAGCTGTGATTGTCAGAGAGGCAGAATCCAGAAAGGAGGCAGTTGTATTTGGTCTGACACAGTTAGTTGTCGGGAGAACGCAGCGGAATGTGCGGAGAAAGGAATGACCCGACATTCCAAAACCCGGCCGCCCTCCTTTTCAATTCTTGCAGGCAACTTCTGAGTGCTCTTGATTCCACGCTCACTACATTCCCATGGTGTGCTGAGTGCTCAGATGGCCAGGCCGAGGGGGGTTGAGGGTCTTCCATCCCAGTGTCGCAGCTGACCCATGAGGTCATGGTGGTTCTTCTGTCCTCTCTCCTTTTGCATCCTAATCCCTTTGTCCTCTGTCCAGCCATTTACAATTGCGTCAAGGAGGGGCTCTGGATGCTGAGCGATGATGGCATTTAAACACATTTCAGACATTCAGAGCCAGGACCACTTCAGCCCCTGGCCCTCTGTTGTTGGAAGCGAAGGAAGGGGTGAATGAATGGAAAACTGATGTGAGGGATTATTACGCAAGTTTGTGGCCCTAACACGTTAGAGAGAGCGAATGGGACCTTTCTTTCACTACAGTCAATGCATAACGAGCAGGGAATTAGACCGGATGGTGACGACCCAAACGGAATGAATGTATGAATAGGGCATTTAAGCAAAAGCAGCCAAAACAAAGAGCATGCAGTTGGCGCTGGGCAATTAACACAGTGGGAGGTTAGAATGGGGGGCTGCTGAGAAGGTGACCTGTTAACGTTTGCACATCGCCCCACTGTTAACACGCTGCTTATTTAAAGCCAGAATGCTGTAGTTGTGTGCACGAAGGGGGATGGATGGTTGTCCAGGGTGTACTGTCAGGACATGAACCATGAGAAGTGGCAATACCATTGTCCCTGTATCACAATAATGTCTTCAATCAAATTCTACCCACAAAACTATCTGTTCCATGGATGAGTTGCTGAAAGAATTGGTCTTACTATGTAGTTACATTGAAAAAAAAGTACATAGGCCTATGTGAGAGAGAGCAATCAAGCATATTTTATTTTACGTAACCCTCTGTTTTCTCATATGAAGGCTTTAAACCTGTTTACCAGCAGCAGAGATCTCTTATTACCCATATCTACCTGACTCACTGTTGTTCTGTTGTCCTGGCAACTCAAGTTTCAGTGGAACAACAACGGTCATTTTGTCAACTGGTGTATGAGTTCGTATCTAGTCCAATTTAGATTATTACTGTAAAGCTGTTTAGTGTCTGTACTGGATCCACTGACCAAGCTTTGAATAGAGAGTGCAATGGTTACAAGCATCAAAACCCACATGGTGTGCTGGGGTTGTGCTGTGCCAACTGTTACTGTTTAAACATGTCTGAATATTTGCGCTTTGGGGACCCATCAGGGTAGACGGAGGTGGGGTCGTTACTTGATTCTGTCATGCCCTGATAAAAATGTAATGCTCAGAAGAGGAAGTGATAGCTAGTCTGTGACACAGTAACGCCAATGTGGTGGTGGTGGTGCTACTTTTAGACCAAAGTGTTCTTTCTCAGGCCCTTCCTGTGTGTGGTGTGACAGAGTATCACATCCTGAGATGAGCTGTTAACTTCAAATTGACAGATGCTTCCCATTGGTTAGTTTACTATGAGGAAAAGCCCAGGGTGGTCTACTTTACTATTGCAATGTCATGGCTTGAGGAATGACAAAAATACACTGACACAAGCCAAAAAAGCAGTGTTTAGCCAACAAGACAGCTTTTTGTTGTTGTTGCAATTTGTCAAATGAAATTCCTGCCATGACAAAAAGTCCCTGGAACTCTCAAAGGAAAATTTGATACATGAAACGTGAAAGTTTCAGAGGGTTAAGTGTAGGTGTCTCTGGCATGTTGGAGCTCTATGGTTTTGGTTGTCTCTGGATGAAAGAGATAAGAGATCTGTTGTACAGGCTGTCTACGCAGACGGGATGTGGGTGACGATTGTGAAAAAAGAAAAGAAAAAAGTGTTTTTCTCACTTTCTCTCTGTGCTGCTGGTGTCTTTTTTTAAACAACTGATCTGAGAAAATTGAGGGAAATGCAAGTACTGTAGATTATCACTGCTTGATACAATAGCAAAAATAGATCTATAGTGTATAAACACTATTTTGGTCTAAAACATGACTGGATTTAATGGGTGTTTTGGTTGGTGTTTGTGTTTGTATCAGGGATGGCTGGAATGGGGGGGGGTAGGACAGGAATGCCAAACAGATGCAAGAGGACAAGTGCATGGCTAGATGGGACACTTGTGCTTCTTCCTAACGACTAGACAGTTGGGGGATACAAACAGAGGAACAAAAATACTGCCCTACTTTACTCAAATTGCCAGCCTCAAGCTTCAGTTGTTGTCATAATACAGTAATGACCTTTATGTAGTCCATTGTCTATACTGCCAATATAGTTTGTACTGTGAATGTTTGGGATAAGCCAAACGACATCCAAAGAGGCCCAGTGACTATAGAGTAGACCCACCCAGTATTCTTCTCTTGTGTAGCAATGTTGAGGTATACAGTGGGGGAAAAAAGTATTTAGTCAGCCACCAATTGTGCAAGTTCTCCAACTTAAAAAGATGAGAGAGGCCTGTAAGTTTCATCATAGGTACACGTCAACTATGACAGACAAATTGAGAAAAACAATTCCAGAAAATCACATTATACAATTTTTAATGAATTTATTTGCAAATTATGGTGGAAAATAATTATTTGGTCGCCTACAAACAAGCAAGATTTCTGGCTCTCACAGACCTGTAACTTCTTCTTTAAGAGGCTCCTCTGTCCTCCACTCGTTACCTGTATTAATGGCACCTGTTTGAACTTGTTATCAGTATAAAAGACAACTGTCCACAACCTCAAACAGTCACACTCCAAACTCCAC